ATCAAGCCCGGTTCTCCCAGATTAGAGTCCACGCACTTAACCACTACACCAGACTGGCTCTCAAGTGCTTCTTTCCTCATTTCTAATTTGAAGGGGCTCTTTCTGTATTGAGAGTTATCCTGCTATACATTTTTTCAAAGGGTAGCCATGTTGGCCTGCATTAGTATAGCTGATTTTATACTCCGCTTTTCTCTGCCCTAAGGTCTCAGAGCGGCTTACAATCGCCTTCCCTTTCCTCTCCCCACAACAGGCACCTTGTGAGGCAGGTGGGACTGAGAGAGTCCTGAGATAACTGGGACGGGCCCACGGTCACCCAGCTGGCTTTTATGTGGAGGAGGAGCGGGGAATCAAACCCGGTTCCCCAGATTAGAGTCCGCTGCCTCCAGTAGCACCTCAGAGAGCAAAACGATTTCTGGGGGTATAAGCTTTTGAGAGTCAACGGGAGCCTTTCGTACTGGCTTCAGGGGTGATGAGCTTTGTATTAGACCAGGGGTGTCAAGCATCAGGCCCGGGGACCAGAACCGGCCCGTTCAGGGCTCTTGTGCGGCCCGCGAGCAACTGATGCAAGGGAGGAAGGGCGGGGGGGGGAGTGGGCGGAGCCACTCCATTGTGGCTTCAGCACGGCAGAACAACCTCGTCTGCGGCAGTCAAGCATCATGGGAGCATCTACCCATGCTGGCTGCACTGCTCCCTCTCCAGTCCGCCCATGTGGGTTTTCCTCTGCACTCCCCTCCCACAGCCCATGGGACCTTGCACTGAGGATACACCAACTTGGAGCTTACCAGCTGCTGTCCTTTATACGGTTTCTATCTCCAGGAGCTGGCATTACGTTTCTTGGCACATGTGCCCTGGCCAAACAAAGTGACATTTATGTCAGATCCAGCCCTCATAACAAATGAGTTTGACACCACCGTACGAGCAACTGATGCAAGGGAGGAAGTGCGGGGGGGGGAGTGGGCGGAGCCACTCCATTGTGGCTTCAGCACGGCAGAACAACCTCGTCTGCGGCAGTCAAGCATCATGGGAGCACCTACCCACACTGGCTGCACTGCTCCCTCTCCAGTCCGCCTCTGGGTTTTCCTCTGCACTCCCTTCCCCCGACCCATGGGACCCTGCAGTGAGGATACACCAACTCAGAGCTTACCAGCTGCTGTCCTTTATACGGTTTCTATCTCCAGGAGCTGGCATTACGTTTCATGGCACATGTGCCCTGGCCAAACAAAGTGACAATTATGTCAGATCCAGCCCGCATAACAAATGAGTTTGACACCACTGTATTAGACTTACTTCACCGAGGAATGAGCCGTCTTCTGCTTCTTCAACCAGGGAAGGTAGAAGAGACAGCGACCCTCGCTTCGACAGCTGCAACGTACATGGAGAGATACAGCCCAGTTAACCAGAGCCGCAGAAAGGTTCCTTTATTCTGTCCTCTTCAAATCCGGTGTTCAGCCACTTTCCCACACGTGCTAAGGCACCAACTAACTCAGAGGGCTGCTACAGGCATGACGCTGCCAATATGAAGCGCTTTTACCAGCCACAGACTTCAACAGGAGAAATACAAGCGGGCATTTTACACTCTCGTGGACATCAGCAGAACTGGAATATACTTAACCTTGATCGGACAAGGAAAACAGCCTCGATCGACTCCCCCTGCCTTGCTCTCTTTATCAGCTATTTTAGCAACAACAATCCTTGAACTCCCTCTAACTCCTGGCAACACAGAATCACAGAGCTGGAAGGGGTCCTACAGGTAATCTAGTCCATCCCTCTGCAGGATCAGCCTAGAGCATCCCTGACCAGAGCTCACCACCTCCCTAGGCAGCCAATTTCACTGTTGAATAACTCTGTCAAACCTGTCAAGTTTTCCCTAATATCCAGCTGGTACCTTCCTGCCCTTAATTTAAACCCATGATTGCGAGTCCTCTCCTCTGCTGCCGACAGGAACTGCTGCCCCCTCTGAGTGACAGCCCTTCCAATACTCGAAGAAAGCAATCAATATTTGCCCCCTCAACCTCCTCTTCTCCAGACTGAACATTCCCAAGTCCCTCAGCCTTTCCTCACAGGGCTTGGTCTCCAGGCCCCTGATCATCCTCATCACTCTCCCTCTGCATTCTGTCCGCACCCTTTCTGAAGTGAGGCCTCCAGAACTGCACACAGCACTCCAGGTGCAGCCTGACCAACATATACAAGGAAGTCTGAAGAATGTGATCTTGAAATATGTTGCCGTATGTTTTGAGGGTTTCCTCCTCTTACAAAGACAGTTTCTGGAGGGTAACTGTGTTGGTCTACAGAACAGCAGCTAGATTCGAGTCCAGGAGCACCTCAGAGACCCACAAGATTCTGGGGGTACAAGCTGACAAGGAGAGCTGTGACTCTCAAAAGCTTATACCCTGAAAATCTTGTGGGTGCCTCATTTGCTCCTGAACTCGAACCCAGCTCCTCCTCTAATGTCTCCTTCACCAGAGCCCCTCCCCCCCTTCTTCCTATCGAAAATAACAAAAAATGTAAAGGAGTTCCCTTGAGCATTTGACCAATTTGCAATGAAGAAGAAGAGCTGGTTTTCATACCCCGCTTTTTGTAACTGTAAAGAGTCTCAAAGAGGCTTACAATCCCCTTCCCTTCCTCTCCCCACAACAGGTACCTTGTGTGGCGGGTGGGGCTGAGAGAGTTCTGAGAGAACCGTGACTGGCCCAAGGTTACCTAGCAGGCTTCATGTGGAAGAAGATGAAGAAGAGTTGGTTTTTATACCCCACTTTCCTCTAACTTTGAGCCTCAAAGAGGCTTACAATTCCCTTCCCTTCTTCCCCCCACAACAGGTACCTTGTGAAGCAGGTGGGGCTGAGAGAGTTCTGAGAGAACTGTGAACTGGCCCAAGGCCACTGAGTAGGCTCCATGTGGAAGAAGATGAAGAAGAGTTGGCTTTTATACCCTTTCTCTACCTTAAGAAGTCTCGGAGTGGCTTAGAATCACCTTCCCTTCCTCTCCCCACAACAGTCACCTTGTGAGGTAGATGGGGCTGAGAGAGTTCTGAGAGAACGGTGAGTGGCCCAAGGTCACCCAGCAGACTTCTTGTGGAGGAGTGGGGAATCAAACCCCATTTTCCAGGTCACAGTCTGCTGCTCTTAACCATTACACCACACTGGCCATCGAAGCCACTGAAGCCACGTCAAGGGACATGATGGTGTTCCACATACCTGTCGATCAGTGCCTCCTCCACTGGCCAACCCACTTTCCTCTAGCTCCGTAGATTCAACACCTTCATCTTCCAGTTCAGACTGTTCATGCCGCTGGTGAAGCTCCAGCAGAGAACTCTTCATGGTCATCAAGAGGTCATCCTTTGTCTGGCACAGGAGAACGATCTTTTGCTTTATCTTCTCCATCTCTTCGCCCTAAGGAACAATCACATTCAGGTGTAACCTCTGCACAGGGGTAGGGGGCACGAAAGGGAAGGAACGAGCGAGTCCCGTCTTACTGCGATGCCATCGGCCAAGTTTTCCTCGACTTCCTTTTCCACACTGAAGCAATTCCCCATTGCCACTGCAAGAGGTTCCACAGGAAACGACCTAGCCTGGTGGCCGCCTGCACCACCGGCCATAGCTCAGTAAGGAATGTAGAGGTTCAGTAATAAACACCTAGCCTGGACACTCTCCGGATTGTGGGAGTGGATATCCTGGAGGCTGAGTAGCTAGGAGTTCCACCGGTGACAAAACGCAGGTTAGACAAATGACTAAAGTAGACAGCACAACTAACAATACTACTTCCTGTCATCACCTCTGGAAGGGAACTGAGATGGGGGCGGGGAGGTTTTTCTTATCTCATGCAAGACAAAACTGGGAAATACAGAAAGAAGCAATGTTTCCTCTAAGCTGTGGAGGCTTGTGAGCAAAAATTCTGCTTTGTGAGCTACTGGGATTAAAGTTGTGAGCGAGCGATATGGCGACTGTATAAATTAGTTTGCTCTGGGAGCGCTCCTTCCTGAGTGAAGACCAAAATGTGTGAGCCGTAGGCTAAAAAACTGTGAGCTAGCTCACCCTAACTCAGCTTAGAGGGAACACTGGAAGGATGTACAACTTGTTGTTTTGTTGTCAAGTCACAGCTGACTTATGGCGACCCCATAGGGTTTTCAAGGCAACAGACCTTCATTCGGGTATGTTGTAGGGCTACCTTTCGGCTATGCTCCTGCAAGGTCCCTTCCAACTCTAACATTCTATGTTTTATGACACTCAGAGGTGGTGCTACCCTATTAAGGACATTTATAAGTTGCAAGATCTAATGTTTGGTATTGCTTATTGACTGACTACTCTAATTTGTCTTTGTCGTCTGTTATGCTATTTCTTTGTAATCTGCTTCATGCTTCTGTATTTGTTGGCTCTACTAAATAAAAAGCCAACATATAAAAAAATAGGTGGTTTGTCATTGCCTGTCCAAGTGTCACGGGCCTGGTATTCCTTGCAGGTGTCCCAGACAAATTCTAGCCAGGGCTGACCCTTCTGAGATCAGATGTGATCGGGCTAGCTAGGGCTATAGCATGCTGTAAAGGTAAAGGTTTCCCTTGCTCGAATGCCAGTCAAATCCGACTCTAGGGTTGTGGTGCTCATCTCCGTTTCAAAGCCGAAGAGCCAGCACTGTCCGAAGACGCTTCCGTGGTCATGTGGCCGGCATGACTAAACACCAAGGCGCACAGAATGCTGTTACCTTCCCACCGAAGTGGTACCTATTTATCTACTTGCAATCTCTTGCTTTTGAACTGCTAGGTTGGCAGGAGCTGGAACTAGAGATGGGAGCGCACTCCATCATGCGGCACCCAGGTCTCGAACTACCGACCTTCCACAGCCTGCAGTTCAGCGTCTTAACCACTTGAGCCACCGCAGCTCCATGTAGCATGCTGTACAAAATGCTAATTCAATCTAAAAAGCGAGAAGCACATCGCGTGCTGAAAGTGTCCAAGGAAATGCAAACGAGCTGTGCTGTCCTCTCTGCCTTCGTTCTCAAGTAGGTACCAACTTGACAAACTAGTAATTAGGCACTTTAACTTGTGCTCTGTACCACGTGAATTACAACAGCTGCGATGCAGTGGCAATTTCAATATTAACAGAAGTCCGAGCACCAAATCCATTAACAAGGTTACCCGACTCTGGAATGCCCTCCTGGCCTCTTCCTTTCAGCTTCCCTTAAGCTCATTCATTTTCCCGCCGCCTGCTAAAAATCGGCCTCTTTGAGGAGGTCTTTAACCTGTAGACTCTGCTGATGCAGGCATCCATGTGGAGTTTAGTGCAGTTGGATTTACTGGCTTTTCTTTGATCTTTTTAGTGTTTCAGCTCATTTTCCTGTACTAGAATGGTGCTGAGAGGGGTTATTTGCCAGTACCAGTTTGGCTCAGGGGAAAAAGTTCAGGGGAGGAGGAGGAGGAGGAGGAGAAGGAGAAGAAGAAGAAGAAGAGGAGGAGGAGATTGGATTTATACCCTGCCCTTCACTTGGAGTCTCAGAGCAGCTTACAAACTTCTTCCCCTTCCCCTCCCCGCAACAGACACACCCTGTGATGTAGGTGTGGTTAAGAGAGCGCTTTCAAGAACTGTCCTTGAGAGAACAGCTCTGACAGAACTATGGCTTGCCCAAGGTCATGCAGCAGCTGCAAGTGGAGGAGTGGAGTATCAAACCCGGTTCTCCCAGATTACAGTCTGCACACTTAACCACTACACCAAACTGGGAAGGCAGTAACCCCTCTTCCCCCTACACCACAGTGTTGATGAGAATCGGTCACCTGTGACACGTGGAAACGGAGCTGCCACTGGGAATTCAGAATGGCTGCTAGTCCCCATAGCGAACTCGTATAACTTGTAACGTGTGGTTTAGCTCTCAGTCCTTTCCTAATAACAGGTTGGTATACAGTCACAACTATAAAGACAGAAGGACCCACAGGAAACCAGAAATAGATCAGGGAGGAGACTCCTAGGTCATTGGGGAGAATAGCCATTTGGTTGACTCCCACCAGAGATGGGCTTTCACATAATGGATGGAAGAGGTGCCTCCACATTTCTTTCACACCTTCAGCATGACCCACTGTCATCTTGCTATCAGTTTGATGCAGTCTTTCAATTGCTAGGCCTGTGCTAAGAAGTGCATGTATACAGGGATCAAAAAATGGGGGGGGGCGGCGCGGCGACGGGTGGAGCACGGCTTCTTTCCATGCCGCCCGTCCCGCTAACAGATCTTTCCGAGGCTCCCGGTCTCCGGGAGAACTTGGCCAGCCCTCATGGAGTGAGGGCGGGAGTAAGGGGCGTCTTTTTGGGTGGGGCGCGATCGGCAAAGCGGGGGGTGTCCAGAAACAGCCCCAATACAAGACCGTTTGTTTGGGGAAAACATGGCCGTCGCCATGTTTGGACTAGCTGCTGCCAACCGGCTTTTTTAATTAAATGGGAAATACAATGAGGAAATTTACTAACACGGCAAAACAGAAGAAAAATAACGAAGGTTGAGTAATGTTTTTCTTTGGTGGAGTGTTAAAGAAGCCCCCAAAGAGGAATTGTCCAAGAAGGAAAGTGGAAACGGCCGGGAGAAGCAAGGGACAAAAGTTTATACCGGTGTCTGTTCGGGGGGAAAAGGAACTATAAATACTGTCGTTCTGGGTTTAGATGGATTGGTTCTATTGGCAAAGATGTCTAAAGAAAAAAATTGTTGGTGTAAAAGCTTATGGAATACAGGGAACTTCTTGTTGAAAGTTGAAGCGCTATGGAGGAACCGATCGATATGGAGGAAGAGACGGAAGTTGAACAGGAGTTTGATGACAACGTCGAGATGGGTGAGCTGACTGTGGAACAGTTTTTGAGAATTTTGAGGGCGACAATCCAAGGAGAATGCAGAAAAGCATGTGGGAAAATAATGGAAAAATTGGATAACGTCCAGAGAAAGTTTGGAGAGAGGGAGGAAGCAGAACGGCCCAATTTGAGAGAAATACCAGAGGAGCGGCAAAAGGAGAAGTGTACTGACATTAAAGAAAGAGAACCGGAGCCTATGCAAGAGACGGAATATTTGGTAACTGAAAGAACTAGAAAGGATTTAAAGGGAAAAGAACGGACATGTGTTAAAGTAGGAGTATCTAGCTGTAAAAAGGGACGGAAGAAGAATGGCAAAGAAGGAGAAAGGAGGATTAAGAGAAGGAAAAGAAGGGCCTGGAAATTTAAAGAGAAAAGCCCTAGAAGGAAGATGGAATGGTTAAATAACAGCAAGGAGAAATTGGGAAAGCTAAGAAGACATAAAGATCGAAGTCATGTAGACAGACTGAGGCAGATAGGGAGAATGTTGATGTATAAGAGAAAGAATAAGAGATTGAGAAAGGCAGAAGGTTTGGTTTATACCTTAGATAGGACTAGATGGAGTAATGACCTGGATAATTAACTTTCAACTGTGTATAATTTAAAGTGATATGTTTTGGTTCCATATGTGAGCTTGCTAGAAGAATAGAATGGGATGCTTGACCCAAATAATGACTTGAGGTGCTATTTATATTAATAAGGGGTTAATGAGGATTGTTAATAAGTTAATAACAATAAATAAAATATTGAGGGGTAAAGAAATTGGCAATCATGGGATATTGGAGAAAAATTATGTAGAAAGATGTAATGAGTGGCTTATAAATGAGGGGGAGGAATAATGAATTTGAAAGTATTTAAGTAGGTATAGAAATTTTCTTTGTTTGTGTTTTTGGTTATTTTGTGTTTTTTTAAGATTATTAGTGAATCATGATAGAAAATTTAGAGAATTTAATGTGATATTGGGTTTTAATATGATATTTAATAAAAAAGAAGTACTGGATGGGTTATGAATTGGGAAGTTAAGATGTTATTGTAGATGATATTTAGTTAATTATGTATGTATTTATTGGTGTATCGGGGCATAGATCTGACTCAGATTAGACAGGTTATTAATTGAATGGCTGATGGAATAGTAATTGGGGAGCAAACAAAGCTAGCTTACTTTGGATAGGTGTATTTAAGATATAGGAGATGAAGAATTAATGGAAACGTAAGGGGGAAAACAAAATATATAGAGAGAGAGTAAATGAAGAATAAAAATAAAAATCAATAAATTGAACTTTAAACCCTGTTTTTCATACTGGGAAGATATGTCTATAGGATACTAGTATGCATTAATATTGCCAATATGATCTTATAGGTCATAGGTTAGGTAGGGCAGTATTATATAACAAAGGAAAAGTAAATGGCAAATTTATTTGTACTCAACGTAGATTGGATAAAATAGTGGAGAATAGCAGAAGGATAATTGTGTATGTATTTGGGTAATATGATTGTTATGTCTGTTTTGCTGAAAAAGGAATAAGGAATTGTGGGGGAAATGTACATGTATCCTTGTCGTCTTGGTATTTATGTATGATACAGGCTTATACTGGAAAAACCAATAAATAAATTGTTCAGAAAAGATGGGGTTCCTTATTCTATTTCTGGTATTCAGGCATAGCCTTGCGGGAACACTGGGGCAGGATCAAAGGACTGACTATAATAAGAGTCATGTGAACACACATGAAGCTGCCTTATACTGAATATCAGTTCATCAGTCCATCAAAGTCAGTAGCATTGTCTGCTCAGACTGGCAGCGGCTCTCCAGGGTCTCAGGCGGAGGTCTTTCACATCACCTCCTACCTGGTCCTTGAATCAGAGGTGCCAGGGATTGAACCGGGGACCTTCTGCATACCAAGCAGATGCTCTACCACGGAGCCACAGCCCCTCCCCAGTCTGGAGGTAATGTGGTTTATGGGGCTTGATTTCAAGATGGAACCAAAACAACCAGGTCCACAGGAGAAAATTCATAAGATGTTTGAATCAGGGGCCTTGGCAATAGTGTCACATGGGAAACAGGCGGGGAAGGAGGACCGAGAGCAAACAAAGAGCACTGCACAGAGACAGTTTCACAGGGCAGCTGTGTTGTTCTACAGCAGAACACCTGGATTCGAGTCCAGTAGCACCTTAGTAACCAACAAGATTTTTGAGGTACGAACTTTCGAGAGTCAAAGCGCCCATGGTCTGATGAACGGCCCTTTGGCTCTCGAAAGCTCGTACCCCGAAACTCTTGTGGGTCTCTCAGCTGCTACTGGACTTGAAGCCAGCTGCCAAGAGAAGAGAAATCTAGGGGAAACCCCTCCCCCCACAAACGACCAGCAAATCCAGCTGTGAAAGGCTAGATGGCCATCTGTCAGCTAATGATGATTCTGTGGACTTAGGCAGGTCATGAGAATGGGTGGCAGGAAGGGTTGCATCAGTACTTAGTTCCTGTGGTCCTTTCGTACATGCCCAGGCAAATGCTGATCGCCATCTTTGGGGTCAGGAAGCCATTTTTCTCCAGGCTAGTTTGGCTGGGGATCCTGGAGGGGTTTTTTTGCCATCTTCTGGGCACGGAACAAGGGTCACTGGGGGTGCATGGGGGGGGAGGTATTTGTGAATTTCCTGTATTGTGCAGGGGATTGGACTAGATGACCCCAGAGGTCTCTTCCAACTCTATGATTCTATGACTCTAAGGTGTGCATTTTAAGGTAAGCTTTGAAGGTCTGAACCAAGACCATGGCAACGTTAATACCAGTAGGGTCATGTTATCCTGATGGAATTATAGGAATCACATTAAAATATGCTCTTCTCACTTTTTCTCAGCAAGGGTTGTTTTTTCCCCCCCAGTGAAAAGATAGACAGGAAAAACGTAGGGGGAACGGAAAGTTGTAAATCTCACCTCTGGGTAGGAAGCAGCCTGAGCAGTTAATGAGATTTCTGTAGGCGACTCATCCAAGTGGCTCTTTAGGAACTGCTTCAGAGCGTCTATCTCTTGCTCGCGTTGTTCCATCTCTTTCACAATTGGCTGCAAAGCAATAATTACTATTAGCTGTTTTAAAGTGGATGGAGGGACGTCGGACCGCATGGCCTAATGCCCGAATAAGCCGTCAAACCACAGCCTAGGACATTATTCGGCACATTTTGAAAACGTTTGTTCTGAGACAGAAGGGGAAACAACAACTTTGACAGAAGCTCTGCTTCCCCCCACCCCAGATGGGAACACTTCAGTGTAAGTTTGGCATAGTGGTTAGGAGAGCGAGTTTGGTGTAATGGTTAAGAACGTGGACTCTAATCTGGGAGAACTGGGTTTGATTCCCCACTCCTTTGCATGCAGCTGCTGGTGTGACCTTGGGTCAGTCATAAATTCTTTCAGAGCTGTTCTCTCAAGGGCAGTCCTCGAAAGAGCTCTCTCAGCCCCACCTACTTCACAGGGTGTCTGTTGTGGGGAGGGAAAGGGATTGTAAGCTGCTCTGAGACTCCTTCAGGTAGTGAAGAGGGGGGGTATAAATCCAATCTCTTCTCTCTCTCTCTCTTCTAAGTGTCTGCAAGGGGTGGGGCAGCAATTGCCATAAATAATAATTTATATTCTGGCACTGGATTGGGAACGCTGCAGTTACCCTTGATTTTCTCTACTCCTGATGCAAAACTTACATATTTGCAGTTGGCAGCTGGATGTCCCAAATAGCAGATTTCGGAATATAATGCAGGATCCATGGGGGATTAAAAAAGCATCCAGGGAGGAAGGAGTCAAGATGAGGCTCAGTGATTCCAAGCACGTACGCAATGTACGCCCTGACATGTCTAGCCCAGGATAGCCCGACCTCGTCAAGTCTTGAAAGCTAAGCAGGGTCAGTCCTGATTGGTACTTGGGTGGGAGATCACCAAGGAAGTCCAGGGTTGCTACACATAGGCAGGCAATGGCAAACTACCTGTGTTCATCTCTTGCCTTGAAAAAGTGATGCTCTGTCTTCTTGGTGCTTGGGGGGGGTCAACAGTGGGAGGGCTTCTAATGTCCTGGCCCCACTGGTGGACCTCCTGATGGCACCTGGTATTTCTGGCCACTGTGTGATACAGAGTGTTGGACTGGATGGGCCTTTGGCCTGATCCAACATTGGCGTCTCTTATGTTCTTATGTTCACTACGGGATCACCATAAGTCAGTTGGGACATGATGACACTTCCCACTATTCCTTTGCATTGAACAAGGATTCATATCTGCACGACACCACTGTGGTTTCTGATGCTCAGTTAAGTCGACTGCAGGTAAATACGTGCATACATGAGGGAACAGCCATCCGTATTTGCACTGTGAAAAAAGCATTATTTGTTTTTGCAGAAAACTGTCCTAAACAGAAGATGCCAGTATATGTGAAAGTGGAGGCAATATTGGCAGAAATACAATAATGAGGTACTGTCAAGTCGCAACTGACATGATGACCCCACAGAGTTTTCAGGGCAAGAGACAAACTGAAGTGGTGTGCCGTTGCCTTCTTCTGCATAGGAACTCTGGTCTTCCTTGATGGTTTCCCATCCTTGTACCAACCACGGCTGACCCTGCTTAGCTTTCAAAGTCTGATGAGCTCAGCCTAGTCTGGGATATTCAGGCTCTCTGGTTTACAGGCCCGTAGCCAGGATTTTGTGGCTTGGTGGGGCAATTTTTTTTTCCTGGTGGGGCTGAAGTGCTCAGAGCAGAAAGGCCATTTAGCCAGTAGAAAGCGGTTACCAGGATAGGTCTCTAAATTGCAAGCTGTCAGCCACTTTAGATGACAGTTCTCAGTTGCCGCAAGTTAATCACTTCTGCCAGCTGAAGCAACCATTCTGATAACAAGCAGCAGGTGGGGGTGATGACTACTATAGTCAAGAAAGCTAACACTTGGGCAGAAAAGCTCTCTTAAGGAAAGCAGCTATAGCTTGGGGCTGGAAGGATAAAAGTAAGTGGACAGTGGAAATCTGGCACAGCTATCTGTTTGATTTCATACAGTCAGACATCGCGGCAGTCCTACGCAAGGAGGCATCCTGGGAAGGGAAATCCGCAGAAATTTGGAAAAGGTGGAAGACCTATCTGGAGTGGATATCCAAGGAGGGAAGGGAAGACATTCGGTGGAAGATTTTGACTTTGTGCCCGTGGCTGGAGAGAAAAGACTAAGGACTACACGAAGATAGGGAAGGGAGGAGGGAGGGAAGGGGAGGAAAAATTGTAAGACGCTAAATATGACACCGAAAAAGATTGCTAATATGAATATCAATATGTCTAACAAATGTTGGAAGTGTAAAAAAGTGGAGGGCTCTTTTTACCATATGTGGTGGACATGCGAAAAAGCAAAGAAATTTTGGAGTGAGATCCATGCAGAGATGGAAAAGATCACGAAATGTACATTTAACAAGGAACCAGAAATACTACTTTTGGGACTAAAAATGGAAGAGGTTAATGTATCAAAGACAACTATGATGTGGTATATGATAACTACAGCAAGAATGACGTATGCTCAGAATTGGAAACAGCAAGAAGTCCCGAAGATTGAAGATTGGATTAAAAAATTATTATTTTCAGTTGAAATGGACAAACTGACAAGAAAGTTGAATAATATGGAAGCAGAAGATTTCTATAATGACTGGAAGGATCTAAAAGAATACTTAGAAAAGTATTGGGAAGTAAAAGACAATTTGTTTAGTTTTAATAATTATTAATCATAGAATGCTTGGGAGATAGGATAAGTTAAAAATTAATTACTATAGTGAAATAATAGTTACCTAGTGAATTACAAAAAGAAAATTGTTGTTGTAAAAATTAAGAATGAGATGGGCAGGAGGTCGAAGCACTGTGGGAAGCCATATATTAGGGAAGGGGAAAAGGGAGGTGAGTAGGGTATGAAAGGGACAAATGTAAAAAATTTAATGTTGATTATGAATGTTTATATCCTAAATAAAAAAAAAATTGACAAAAAAGATGATGCTCAGTGATTCCAAGCTCGTACGCAATGTATGCCCTGACATGGCTGGCCCAGGATAGCCCGACCTCGTCAGGTCTTGAAAGCTAAGCAGGGTCAGTCCTGATTGGTACTTGGGTGGGAGATCACCAAGGAAGTCCAGGGTTGCTACACATAGGCAGGCAATGGCAAACTACCTGTATTCCATCTCTTACCTTGAAAACACTACGGGATCACCATAAGTCAGCTGGGACATGATGACACTTCCCACTATTCCTAAGCATTGAACAAGGATTCATATGTGCACGACACCACTGTGGTTTTTGATGCTCAGTTAAGTCAACTGCAGGTAAATATGTGCATACGTGAGGGAACAGCCATCTCTATTTGCACTGTGAAAAAAGCATTATTTGCTTTTGCAGAAAACTATCCTAAATAGAAGATGCCAGTATATGTGAAAGTGGAGGCAATATTGGCAGAAATACAATAATGAGGTACTGTCAAGTCGCAACTGACATGATGACCCCACAGAGTTTTCAGGGCAAGAGACAAACCGAAGTGGTGTGCCGTTGCCTTCTTCTGCATAGAAACTCTGGTCTTCCTTGATGGTTTCCCATCCTTGTGCTAACCACGGCTGACCCTGCTTAGCTTTCAAACTCTGATGAGCTCAGCCTAGTCTGGGATATTCAGGCTCTCTGGCAGAAATACAGGGACTGGTTTACAGGCCCGTAGCCAGGACTTTGTGGCTTGGTGGGGCAATTTTTTTTCCCTGGTGGGGCTGAAGTGCTCAGAGCAGAAAGGCCATTTAGCCAGTAGAAAGCGGTTACCAGGATAGGTCTCTAAATTGCAAGCTGTCAGCCACTTTAGATGACAGTTCTCAGTTGCCGCAAGTTAATCACTTCTGCCAGCTGAAGCAACCATTCTGATAACAAGCCAGCAGGTGGGGGTGATGACTTCTATAGTCAAGAAAGCTAACACTTGGGCAGAAAAGCTCTCTTAAGGAAAGCAGCTATAGCTTGGGGCTGGAAGGATAAAAGTAAGTGGACAGTGGAAATCTGGCACAGCTATCTGTTTGATTTCATACAGTCAGACATCGCGGCAGTCCTACGCAAGGAGGCATCCTGGGAAGGGAAATCCGCAGAAATTTGGAAAAGGTGGAAGACCTATCTGGAGTGGATATCCAAGGAGGGAAGGGAAGACATTCGGTGGAAGATTTTGACTTTGTGCCCGTGGCTGGAGAGAAAAGACTAAGGACTACACGAAGATAGGGAAGGGAGGAGGGAGGGAAGGGGAGGAAAAATTGTAAGACGCTAAATAACCTGGAATGTAAAAGCAATGGATAAAACAAATAAAAAAATTAATTTATTAAAAAAAAAAAAAGAAAAGCTCTCTTAAAGGAGACCAGTTTCTTGACACAGTGTTAGAAGGGATCCTAGAGGTCACCTACTCCAACCCTCTTGCGCAGTACGGGAATTAGTCAACTACAGCACCCCACTCTCCTTAAAGGAGTGCACACCTTTAAAGAAATTATTTTAAAATGACTGAAAAAAGCCTTTACAGGAGAAATTCTTGTGGGGCTGTGCTTTTAAGAAAGGGGACAGAGCCTCCAAAAGCTCCAGGGTAGCTACGAGCCTACAGGTTTATACACATTTGCCATGAACGACATCAAAAGTAAGTGTGCTAATTCTGTTAGGTACCCACAGTCCAGCTAAACCTCAGACAGCCCCTCGTCACAAAGTTTTCCAACATCCACCAATGGCTATTAGCCAATGATGGCTACATAGGACATCCATGTTTTGACACAGTATACCTCTGAATGTCAACTGTAAGGAGACGGCAACAGGAGAAGGTCCCCATCCCCCGCCATGAAGGTTCACTGTAACTTAAGCACTATAAGCAGAGCTCTTTTTGTAGAAAAAGCCCAGCAGGAACTCATTAGCATAATAGGCCACACCAAGCAGGAGAAACTCAGCACATTAGGCCACACCCCTGACAGCACAGCTCATTAGCATAATAAGCCATACCCCCGTGCCTTCCCTTGGCTTGCCCGGGCACTGCATGGCTACAGGGAGACCGGGCAAGCCAGCCCTTGGACAGGCCAGGGAAGGGACGGGGAGGAATTTAAATGCCACCCGATCCTTCCAGGGCCCCCCTTGGCCCATCTGCCTCAGAGTTGCTGGGAGGGGGGTCGCTCTCCAGGCCTCCCCTCTGTAGCAACGCACGCTGAGGTTTTGGCTGTAGTGGGCGAGGCCAGCTCTGAAGCCAGCCGGAACTCCGTTCCTGTGCGCTCCTGCCCCAAAATAGCCCTGACTATAAGGATTACTGAGATTAGTGCATACAAAGTGTCAGTGTAGGATTTATTTTCACCTCAAGCAGCTCGTTTTGCTCCCTGGTCATTCTCTCTAATGTCTTCAAGTCTTTCAAAAGCTGCTTTGCCCTCTGGAAGGCAGAGAAAGGCTGCAGCTTCACTCCTGGAAGCCGAAGACTTTCTTGGTAAGACTGAATCTCCCTGAGGGCCTTCTTCATGGGGCCAATGTGGGCCAATATGACCTAAAACAGAAGACAGAGAACCAACAATGTTATAAAAGGTTTGAACAGGAAGAGGGGAGAAGAATCTACCAACAGCATACAGTGCTTTACAGTGTTCAAAAGTGCTGCATTCACAGATGTTACCTGAATATTACTCAGTTTGGTGCAGTGGTTAAGAGCGCAGACTCTAATCTGGGAGAACCGGGTTTGATTCTCTACTCCTCCACTTGCAGCTGCTGGTGTGACCTTGGGTCAGTCACAAGTTCTCTCAGAGCTGTTCTCTCAAGAGCAGTTCTCAAAAGAGCTCTCTCAGACCCTCCTACCTCACAGGGTATCTGTTATGGGGGCAAGGAAGGTAAGCTGCTCTGAGACTCCTTCAAGTAGTGAAGGATGGGTTATAAAGCCACGACTAGATAGCCAGCTGCTGGTGTGACCTTGGGTCAGTCACACATTCTCTCTGAGAGCTGTTCTCTCAGGAGCAGTTCTCAAAAGAGCTCTCTCAGCCCCATCTACCTCACAAAGTGTCTGTTGTGGAGAAGGGAAGGGAAAGGAGATTGTAAGCCGCTCTGAGACTCCTTCGGGTAGTGAAGGGCTGAATATAAATCCAATCTCCTCCTCCTCCTCTTTTTCTCTACCACCACCTCCTCCTGCTGCTCCTCTTCTTCTTTTCCCACATCTACCAATTGACTAACACACCTGCTGCTGGTGTTTTGATCCCTGCAATGACCACAGCAATTTTAGTGGTCTGAACTAGAGAGACCAAAGAGTTTGTGTGGTGGGGTCTCGAATAGCATGAACCAGGGGTGCTAGCAGCAGGGGGGGCCATGCCTCAGTGGCAGATCATCTGTTTTTCAAGTAGAAGGCCCCAGGTTCAATCCCCAGCATCCCCAGTTCAAAGAAGGTGACACGAAAGACTTGTACTGGAGATGTTGCAGTGACAACACTGACCTTGACAGACCAGTGGTCTGTCTCATTATAACAGGTTCAATCCCCAGCATCCCCAGTTCAAAAGAAGGTGACACGAAAGACTTCTACTGGAGATGTTGCAGTGCCGACGTCAATCAGAGTAGACAACACTGACCTTGACAGACCAGTGGTCTGTCTCATTATAAAACAGTTTCATGAGTTCATGTGGTACCTCTCTTAATGGACCCCCAAGGCAACTTGTAGGCAAACAAACAAAAAGTAGCTTGTACATTGTCTGAACTATAGCACACGCCAACTGAATTAAGAGTGAAGGAAAGTTTGAAAAAATATATACAAGGAAAAATTGCAAGTCAGTAGCGGTCTCCCAGTTCATGCTGTATTTTCAACAATATGGATATACTTCAGTTTTCCCAATCTTTCAAAAACAGTCTCCCTGTTTTAAAAATGAGAATATCCACCTGGCCATGTTTAAGATGCTCTTTGGGAGAAAACTCGAGGGTGTCTTCGGAAGGGGACAGGATCATCTTAATTTTGTCCACATCCTTCTCCATTGTTCTCACTTCGGTTTCAATAGCTTCCAACTCCTAAGCATAGAGGCAAGGAAAGGACAAAAAATTAGCAATACACATTAAAACCAGAATACACATGGAATACACGCCCACACCGACACACTAAAACCAGCATATTGAAAAGACAAAGATTACAAATTTAAAAACACACAGAAAAACACACCTAATTAAAAGCACGCACAATTGAAAAAGACTGAATTTTGTTAAATAAACAAATTTGCTGAAGCGGATTAAGACAAACTTTGTTCAGATCCAACAGGGCCCTTCTTATGATCCTAAAAGCTCTAAAGAATACACGGAACTCATGCAAAAACGAATTTCCTTTAACCTAAGATACTTGATGTGTGTATCCCCTTTCTCACACAAACATATGTCCCATCCACTGAAGCCTATATCTGCACAAACCTAGACTCATAGAATCATAATGGAAGAGACCTCCAGGGTCATCTAGTCCAACCCCTACACCATGCAGGAAATTCACACATACCCAAACACAACCCCAGTGACCCCTGTTCCATGCCCAAAAGATGTCAAAAAACCTCCAGGATCCCCGGCCAAATTGGCCTGGAGAAAAATTGCTTCCTGACCCCAACGTGGTGATCAGCATTTCCTTGGGCATATAAGAAAGGGCCACAAGAACTAAGCACTGAAAACCTCTTTTTCCTAGTTCTGTTTATGTGAAGGGGATGTACTACAGAGGCATGCTCTTGAGATCCTAGGTCAGCCATTCTAAAGTATATTCTGCAAGAATCTAAAGTAAAGGTAAAGGTTTCCCTTGCTTGAAAGCCAGTTGAACCCGACTCTAGGGGGTGGTGTTCATCTCTATTTCCAAGCCGAAGAGCCAGCGCTATCCAAAGACATTTCTGTGGTCATGTGGCTGGCATGATTAAACGCTGAAGTGCACAGAACGCTGTCACCTTCCCACTGAAGCGGTACCTATTTATCTACTTGCAATTCCTTGCTTTCAAACTGCTAGGATGGCAGGAGCTGGGGCCAGACGGGAGCTCACTCTGTCATGCAGCACTCGGGTCTCGAACTGCCGAACTACCGACCTTCTGGTCTGCAGCTCAGCATCTTAACCCCAGGGTATTAAATGCCAGTCTGGGGAGCAGCCTATGCAGGAAGAAGAGGAGCCAGAAGACAACTTCTGTAACCCCTTTTTAACTCTTCCACACACTAGTATTACACCTCCTTACCAGGTGGAAGCCTTTTTCCCATCCCTCCTTTTGGCTGCATCTACAGAGCGGTCCTTTCATTATAAGCCGACAGATTCCTTATAGGTCTCCGCCTACTCACATTGACCACATACAGCAGGAGGAAGGGTAGAAAACGGAGCTACACAGACCAATTTGCCAGTGCAATAAAATCAAGTTTTACTGAAGCATCTTTGACACATAATAAGATGGTGTTGCGGTTAGAGGGTTGGACCAAGGTTCCAATCTCCACTCTGCCCTGTAAGCTCACTGGGTGACCTTGGCAGAGTCACGCTCCCTCAGCCTCACTTACCTCACAGGTGAAGAAAAAATGAATGAGGGAAGCTAGGTACATTGTGGGATTAAGAATTGAAGGCAGCTTCCACACAAAAAAAAAAATCATTTTGGTTAAGAGACCTCTCACCTGCTTAACTAGATCGTTCCATATCTTGGCAGGTTCTAAAAGCAAGCAATTTCCTGTGACTCAAACTTGTTCCTTTCCCAGGGCAGCTCCTTGTCCTTCTTCTTCTTCCTTTAAAGCATTTAAAACTTCCGGGTGACGTCATTGCGCCGGGCACGTTGGCACGGATGGGACTCTTTGGGGGGCAGGGCTCACCCGCCGGCTGGGCAGTGGCGGATTGGGACCCCCAAAAGCAGGTAAACCCTTGCCCCCGTCGGGGGAATGGCAACCCTAGTAATTAGTAAGTCACTCACCAATTCTTCCTGAAATGAGTCATCCATACGCAGCTGTTTCGCTAACTTAGGGGTGGACGATGAAGGCGTACCAGAATTCTTCCTAGATCTTTTCCTTTTGTTCTTCATACTTATGGTTTACCTTTTTTCCCTGGCCCCTGCTAATTAATCTGTTTCTATCACACAGCCGTTAGTTGTGTCTGCTTCACCACCCCTGGCCTCAGCTTGCTTGCACTTAAGAGGTAAATTTCATCTGCGCCAGCTATCATTCGAATGTTTCTTGTTTGGGTTGTAGTTGTCCTTGTACTCAACTCCTTGTCCTTGAAGCAGTTAAAAGTTCTTCGGCAAGTTGTCTTCAGCTCTCTTCTATCATGCTCTGCCTCTTCCTACTCAGCCTCCGGTTCCTCTCTTTATACCATTTAGATCTGCTACTCCCCCCCGGATCTTGACCAATCAGGAAGAGCGACTATGTTTCAGTTATCAAGATCTGTCTTTTTTAGTTTCATTTCTCCAAAACTGAAAGTCACACTATCTTTCACTTTCTGTTTCCTAGGCTGACATTTTGACATTTCTACCTGACAAGGAACCAGACCATGCATACTTCCCCAACCACAAGGTAACCTTCTCACACATGGTGGAAACTGTTCTGTCCCTTCATAGTAAGAAACTGGCTACCAATTTGCAGTAATCACTGAAGCTAAGAAATTCTTGACTAAGGTTGCCAACCTCCAGGTGGGGCCTGGAGATCTCCTGGAATGACAAATGATCTCCAGACCAAAGAGATCAGGTCTCCTGGAAAAAATGGCTGCTTTGGAGGGTGGACTCCATGGCACTGTACCCTGCTGAGGTCCCTCAGGTCCCAAAACTCTACCTTTCCCAGGCTCCACCCCCAAATCTCTAGGAATTTCCCAACCTGGAAACTATATTTATGACCTGTGTGTGTATTTAACTATTCAGCCTTGCTAGCAGTGACTAAAAGAAGCCATGATCCAGACAAACCAGAACCCTGGAACTTACTGTGAAGATTCTTCCTGTTCTTCTGTTCGCCTCTATAATTTCTCTTCCTGTAAAGCATCTCTTAAAAGCCCTGTAGTCCCATAAAAACCTTTGCCTACCTTTTCCTTCGCACCCTAGCTACTTCCCACTTATCCTTCTGATGTACGTTAACTTTTGACAGAGCTTTTTTTGTAGAAAAAGCCCAGCAGGAACTCATTAGCATAATAGGCCAGATACTCATTAGCATATGAGGCCACACCCTGACACTATAGCTCATTGGCATATTAGGCCACACCCCATGCCTTCCTTTGGCTTGCCCGGGTGCCCGGTGGCTGCAGGGAGCCCTGGTAAGCCCTCCCCCCTTGAAGGGAAGGCAGTTAAAAATGCCTTCCTTTGGCTTGTCCAGCCGCCCCACGGCTGTGGGGAGCCTGGGCAAGCTGGCCCTTGGACAGGCCAGGGGGAGGCATTTAAATGCCTCCCCGATCCTTCCAGGGGGCCCCCTGGCCCGCTGCCTTGGAGTCGCTGGTGTCTGTGTGTCGCTCTCCAAGCCTTCCCTCCGTAGCCACACACACGGAGAGGTTTTGGCTGTAGTGGGCGTGGCCAGCTCTGAAGCCAGCCGGAACTCCGTTCCTGTGCGTTCCTGCCCAAAAATAGCCCTGACTTTTGAGATTTCATTTTCATTTTTAAAGAGCCAGGTTTGGTTTCACGCCAAGCCACATCTGGCTCAAGAGCCACCAGTTCCAGGTCCCTGCTACAGACATTCCACACTTACGTCGGCCACGTGTTGGATAAGCGGGAGAATTCCCACTATCTTTTGCTGTAAGGCCGCGACTTCTTCATTGACGCCGTTCAGCCGCTTCACCATACTGTCGGTTTCAATCAAAGCGGACAACTCATCCAGTTCTGGGTACATGGCGCTGAGGAGGTTTTGCTTCTGCTCTGAATCTTCCAATGCCATCTGGGGGGGACGGGGTGAAAATAAAATTTGAAAAATCAAAACCCGTGGAGATGAGCTTTCATGTTCAAATAAAAACAATCCAGTGATTCCTGAGTCCTGCAGACACAGTTTAAATCAGAGATGTCGAACTCATTTCTTACGAGGGCCAGATCTTGCACCCCCGAAAATGGCCCATTTGGACCCCTTTTGGGCGGCTGCAGGCCGATTCAGATTCTCTGAATTTCAGCGGCAATTCGCCCCCATTATATCCTTTGGGCAATTGAAGTCAAAGGCGAAAACATAGGGTATAATCTGGGGGATGGAGGGGAGGGGGTTTGAGGGAGAGGCTCCAAATTTGCAGGGTAGCTGCTGGAGCCTCTCCCCAAGATACCAACCAAGTTTGAAGAACACTGGACCAGGGGTAACTTTTTTTCCCACCATAGAGAACAATGGAGGGGATAGGGGCAACCTGTTTGGGGGCCCGTAGAATTGACTTCACTTCGCACCCACAAACTGCTGGATCATAATTACAGAATGAGCTCAGGTTTCAAAATGTTTTCCGAGCCTTTTAAACTTATTTAAGTGTGGCATCAGGTGTTCAGGCATGCAAGGAAAAGTACAAGAACTTATTTAAGTGTGACATCAAGTGTTCGGGCACGCAAGGAAAGTAGGAGGTGCGGACTTTAAGGCCAAGCAACGTTTAAAAACTTGGGCTCCAAGCACCAAAAGGATGGAGATCCACTTACCTGGAGTGTGCTGGCATGATTATTCAACGCTTTGGCAGAGTCGCTCTTCGCCTCCTCAGTCAGCAGACGGTTGGTGCTTTCAAGCCAAGCCCTGGTGCTCTTCAGGAGTTCATCACTCGCTTCCATCTTGCTGGCAGCCTTTAAACAGAAAACATCACTTGTGATTCTGCATGAGGAGCAAGGATCCCAGACGGCTGAGTGTTGATGCAAAAATGTTGTTCTCTGGCATAAACAATGCAGTCGGTAGCAACAGTCACACTCCAAAAGGGCCTTCTGACCATGATTTCCATTCCTCGCTTGGGAAGACAGTGGCAGGAGAAGAAACAAGTTAAGAGAAGGGGAAGAGTATGGGAGAAATAACTGGAGGGAGAAGAGTCCTGCTGGATCAGACCAGTGGTCCATCTAGTCCAGCATCCTGCCTCACACAGTGGCCAGCCAGTTCCTCTGGAGGTCCAACAACAGGGCAGAGAGGCCAAGGCCTTTATTAGAACATCAGAAAAGCCCTGCTGGATCCGACCAGTGGTCCATCCGGTCCAGCATCCTGCCTCACACAGTAGCCAACCAGTTCCTCTGGAGAGCCAGCAACAGGGCATAGAGGCCGAGGCCTTCATTAGAACACAAGAAGATCCCTGCTGGATCAGACCAGTGGTCCATCTAGTCCAGCATCTTGCCTCGCACAGTGGCCAACCAGTTCCTCTGGAGGACCAACAACAGGGCAGAGAGGCCAAGGCCTTCATTAGAACATCAGAAGAGCCCTGCTGGATCAGAACAGTGGTCCATCTAGTCCAGCATCCTGTCTCACACAGTGGCTAACCACCTCTGGAGGGCAAACAACAGGGCATAGAGGCCAAGGCCTTCCCCTGATGTTGCCTCCTGGCTCTGGGATTCGAAGGTCTAGCGCCTTTCAGTGTGGAGTTTCCCCTCCGTCACCATGGCTAGTAGCCACTGACAGACTTACCCCTCTATGAATCTGTCTTATCCCCTTTTAAAGCTGTTTACTCCTGTGGCCATCGCTGTGTTTTTGCAGACACTATGTTCGGATTTCCCAGATATTATTCCGGGAACCATGAGGGGTAGCCACTTGCTTTTTGAAAAGTACACACAGAAGTTCAGATGGGCCCAGGGTATTCAAGCTAGGCGTCCAGTTTTGTAAAAGCCACACATGCAGAACTGCAGGTGGCAAAGTCTCCAAAGCTTTGTGGTGATGAGATGGGCACACCAATTTCTACACATGTGGGGGGGACATCATAATTCTGGTCTGCACACGGGAATGCTCTGCACAGAGACCATCGGGTGCAGGGAAGGAAATTCCTTGCACACAGAGTGCCCTCCGGGCCTGATTATAGAGGCAATCAGGAGGGTGTTTATTTGGAGGGTGTTTATTTATTTACTTCTTTTATTTATTGCCTGCCTCTCTCTCTCTGAGACTCAAGGCAGATTACAGAATAGAGTTTAAACACATTCACCTTCTTTTGCCCCCAGATGCAAACAGGTGCCATAATTAGTCACGGCTCGCGGTTAAAGCAAATGCGCCGCGTGCATAGTGTTCAACGGTCAATTTTTCCCTCAGCCTTCAGCATAAGGGGGGGGAGAGCATGGAGAGGCAGTTCTTCTTTTTTTTTGAAAGGAATAAACCAGAGGTAAGGTCAGTAAAGAAATAAAGATGGTGAAAGAGAGTAAGCCAACAGAATAGTAGAAAGGATAAGCCTAGACCTAGCTGCTCTCCCTACTGAGGCAGGAAAAGGACTGAGCCTAGGGTGACTCCCACCACAGGAAACAGGAAGTTTTGAATTAATCCTGCCTCCCTGAGTGATGGATGGGAATCACCCAAAAGATGGCCTCCACCTCAGAGGAAGAACTTCCAGATAAAGGATTCAGATGGCAGGAATGGAAAGACTTGGGCTTGAGGCCTCAACCAGACAGAGTGCTGGCAGTCCCATGTCACCACCTGTCTCTTTCTTCACCGTAGGCTTGCCAAGTCCCCCCGGGGGGGCGGGGAAACCCCTGCCCCAGAGGCCCGTTCCCCGCCGCCGCCGGATCGGGCCCCTGGGGGAACCCCACCCCGACATGCGCGTAACCAGGAAGTGACGTTACGACGCTGGGAACCCTGGGGGCGGGGCCACGACCATCGGAGGGAAAACTCTATGGTTTCCCCTCTGATGGTCATGGCCCCGCCCCCAGCGTGCCCGGTGGCGTAATGTCACTTCCTGGTGACGTGCATGCGGCGCGTGAGAAATGACTTGGCAACCCTACTTCACTGGGGCAAACAGCTGTTCCCCAGGGCCACTTCACATCAGGAAAATGGTATGGGCAATTATCCCAAAGTACAGAAGGGCTTTTATGCTTGCACGCTTAAATGCCCTACCCCTCAGCAGTGAAGCTAGGAAGATACTGTGGAATTCCATACTCAGACAGATGCTGCAACTGTGGCAACAACAGGTGTCATTTCCTGCCGGAGCGCGGTGGAGCGGTGCTCTGGCAGTAAAGAGCCTGGGGCGCCCCCCTGCCGCCATCCCCTGCCTCCCCGCCCTCCCCTCCCCTTCTCCAGCCAGCCCGCCACGGTGGGCTGGCTGGAGAAGGGGAGAGGGGGCGGGCAGAAATGTATCTGGGGGAATGTAGGCCCCCTCTCCCCTTCCCCCTGAGCCTCTCCGCTTGCCTGCCCTTTGTCAGGGTGTGTGGCATATGCAAATGAGTTACGCAAATGAGCTCCTGCACCTCTATTTCTATGAAATGACCCCTGGGCAACAACAACATTGATTCTATAGACCACATCTTCTTTGACTGTCCTAAATTCTCAGAATTCTGAGGTGAACTGATCTCCCCATCACTTAATCAGAACTCTCTCTCTCCAGAAACAAAATCATCTTGGCTACTCAGAGATAAAGACAAACAAACGACTCTGAGTGTGGTGAAATTTCTGGCCGCTGTCGTTAAGTTACATGATAACTAACTTTAGGGCCTGCTGTTTATGACTTTGGTTGTAAAAACAATAAGTAAAGTAAAATGGTATGGGGGAGACGTTAATCTTCCCCTCCATCTTAACTGGGAACCCAAATGCCTGATTTTTATGAGGGAGGGGGCAAGGACAAAAAGCTCTGTCTGAAAAACCCTGAGCAGCTCATCCAGGAATTTAATCTTCCCCCATGCTGTGATCTCAACTTAACTGGGAACCCAAATGCCTCATTCTGAGGGGGGGAGGGGGCAAGGACAAAGAGCTCTGTCTGAAAAACTCCTTGCATCTTATCCATTTGAGCCCCAAGACACAGGTGAGTGTCTGCGACTAGAGCAGGCAACACTCAATAAAGATTCACCAGCTGCCCAACACAGTATAAAGCACATTGGCACGTTCAAAGTCCTAGGAAAAGAGAATGTGATCATGTAGGAAGCACACCTTATCCTGTCCTAGATTTTGTGACTTAAAAAGGTAAAGGTAAAGGTAAAGGTTCCCTTGCTCGAAAGCCAGTCGAGTTCGACTCTAGGGTTGCGGTGCTCATCTCCGTTTCAAAGCCGAAGAGCCGGCGCTGTCCGAAGACGTTTCCGTGGTCATGTGGCCGGCATGACTAAACACCGAGGCGCACGGAACGCTGTTACCTTCCCACCGAAGCGGTACCTATTTATCTACTTGCAATTTCTTGCTTTCGAACTGCTAGGTTGGCAATTAGAAGGTCTTAAATACAAATATGTGGAAATTAACTAGATGAGAAAAAGGGATACATCCCACTTCTACATTCCCCCAGATACATTTTCATCGTGTTCTTGTTATGAACACTGATTGGTCTCTTGACACACGGTATCATTCCATCGGGCTGTCTCTTACCCTGTTGATTTGTGTTGTCCTGCGCTCGGCCCGCTGTGAGACTTGCTGGTATTGCTGCAGCGGGATCATCAAGCGATCCATCAGCTCTTGGGCCTGGCAAGGGTCTTGCTCGACGGTGTCTTGGACTTCGGAGTCCAGTTCATTCATTTTGTAATGCCAAAGGTCTAGCAAATCCCAGATTCTCTGCAGACATCAGATAGAGCGTTCCAGTTAAGAAAAATCAACGCATTAACAAAAAAAGAGAGAGAGAAATCCCCAGCAATGCTAACATTTGCATACGTTTGGAGCCACCTACAAGATGCAAGAGTAATTTAGAAGCAAAACGCAAAAGGATTCTGGGTTGGATCCAAGATACTGTGGATGAAGTAAAACTTGAACTCCCCACTTCACTCGTCCCACTGCCGTCTCTGAAGGTTTGCTCATGTGGTTCTAGGGGACCCTTGCAAACAGCATGACAGGAGTGAAATGGGAGTCACGGAGGAGAGGACTGTCAAGGGGTACCCAGGGTGACAAAAGGGAACCCCCACAGTCAGAAGCACTGAAACGCTCAATACTGATAGTAGGAGGCAACATCAGGGGAAGGCCTCGGCCTCTGTGCCCTGTTGTTGGCCCTCCAGAGGAACGGGTTGGCCACTGTGTGAGACAGGATGATGGACTAGATGGACCCCTGGTCTGATCCAGCAGGGCTCTTCTTCTGTTCTTATGAAGGCCTCAGCCTCTCTGCCCTGTTGCTGGCCCTCCAGAGGAACGGGTTGGCCACTGTGTGAGACAGGATGATGGACTAGATGGACCCCTGGTCTGATCCAGCAGGGCCCTTCTTATGTTCTTATGAAGGCCTCAGCCTCTCTGCCCTGTTCCTGGCCCTCCAGAGGAACTGGTTGGCCACTGTGTGAGGCAGGATGATAGACTAGATGGACCACTGGTCTGATCCAGCAGGGCTCTTCTTCTGTTCTTATGAAGGCCTCAGCCTCTCTGCCCTGTTGCCCTCCAGAGGAACTGGTTGGCCACTGTGTGAGACAGGATGCTGGACTAGATGGACCACTGGTCTGATCCAGCAGGGCTCTTCTGTTGTTCTAATGAAGGCCTCAGCCTCTCTGCCCTGTTGTTGGCCCTTCAGAGGAACTGGTTGGCCACTGTGTGAGGCAGGATGCTGGACTAGATGGACTAGTGGTCTGATCTAGCAGGGCCCTTCTTATATTCACATATATATTCACATATGCCTTTAGGGGAAAATATTCAATAAGGAAAGCGAGTAGCTTCACTAGTACTTTCTATCCCCTCCAGCTTTCTCTGCATGTTACCATGTAAGCCTTTAGAGTTTTCCTAGTTAAAGAGGAATCTCATCCATGGCATTAGTAAAGCATGGCAGGATGTTACCTTTTGTATTTCTTTGGCTTTCGTCACATCTGCACTCTTCTGCTGTAACATGTTTTCAATGGCTTGGAGGCCTTTATTAATGTCTTCTATTTTTTTATCTGTGGTGTAGTGAGGGGAATTTTTCAGGACTTCAGTATTGACCTTTAAAAAAAAGAAAGAAAACAAATCAGGAAGATTAAAATTTTTGTTAAGGCGTGCGCGCCTTTAAGCAGAGTGGGGTGCTGCAATTGACTAATTCCCATACTGAGCAAGGGTGTTGGAGCAGGTGACATCTAGGATCCCTTCTGTGTTAAGAAACTGGCCTCCTTTAAGAGAGTTTTTCTGCCTAAGTATTAGCTTTCTTGTCTTGGAGAGCCAGTTTGGTGTAGTGGTTAGGAGCACGGACTCTAAGCTGGGAGAACTGGATTTGATTCCCCACCCCATCACCTGCAGTTGCTGGTGTGACCTTGGGTGAGTCATAGGTTCTTTCAGAGCTGTTCTCTCAGGAGCAGTTATCGAGAGAGCTCTCTCAGCCCCACCTACCTCACAGGGTGTCTGTTGTGGGGAGGGGAAGGGAAAGGAGATTGTAAGCCGCTCTGAGATGCCTTCAGATAGTGAAGGGCAGGGTATAAATCCAATCCTCCGCCTCCTTCTATAGAATCATCACCCCCACCCGCTGGCTTGTTACCAGAACTGCTGCTAAGGCTGGCAGAAGTGATTAACTTGCAGCAGCTGAGAAGTGTCATCTAAAGTGGTTGACGGCTTGCAATTTAGAGATCTGTCCCGCTAACAGCTTTCTATTGGCTTTTCTTTCTGCACTGAGAACTTCAGCCACACCAGGGAAAAATTGCCCCACAAGCCACAGGCTACAGGCCTGCTTGGATTAGATACAGTGAGGCTGCACCAAAGTATCTTGATGGGCCTCCCCCTCCCTCCTCCATGTCACCTCCTCTTCTCTATCCCTCCCCTTGTTTTATGCTGGTCTTACTACTCCCCCCCCCTTTAGAAAAGACTGCTGTTGAACAGGTTTCTGAGGCTTAAGGAAAGGATATGGTGTCTTATTTTCTGCCAGAAGGCTGATTGCTATTAAATTCTTAAAGCTTTTCAGGTCTCAGCCTACTTAAAACCTGAATAAGAGATTAACAAATAGAGCAGTGAATAGCTCAGGAACGCCCTGGGCATTAGGACAAATAACGTCTGCGTGGCAAAGCGCTGTAAGCCCCAGATATAACCTACTCTGAACTTTTTTCAAGAAAGGATACACATAAGTTCAGCCCAGAAAAAGCTGTTTCGAGCTTCCAAATGAATAGATCTTGCCTTTACCTTTTCTTCTAAGTCTTGTAAGACCTGCTTGCAATCTTCCGCGTGTTTTTCAATCTCAACCGGGACTATCGTGTACATTTCAGAGTACTTGATCCGTAGTCTGTCCATGATCTGCTCAAAAGTTTGTTTCTGATGGTCAATGGCTCTCTGGATCTCCTAAGAAATGGAAGGATTTAGTAATTATTTGGGTCGTCCCCCCACCCTTGTGCTTAGGATACAGATGGGTAATTTTTCCGTTACAAAGCTTCGTTTGATTACGTAAAACAAACAGATTAAACCTGAGAGACACTCACTGTATCCTGCCAGATGATGCTTTTCAACCCACCAAGAATAAATTAAACCTGATACCATTTCATTGTCCTGTCAAAGCAGGTGAAATAATAACTCAAGCACATAAAAATGCCTCTGTGACCAATGCTTCGTAATATGCCCATTACTAAAATGGAACAAAAAATATGTAAACTCCCCCCCTCCCCACCCCTGAAAAATGTTCTAGCAACAATAAAGGACTGATTAAAGCAATCGTCTCAAAATTTGGAGCATCGCTTTCGTGTGCTTAATTGAAACTCCCAGGCTAAATAGTAGTTTCCAGTCCTGGAAGAAGAATATCAATTTCATGCAGCAAACGAAACTTGACAATCGTCTATTGCTTGTGACCCAGAAATTTAATCTGATCTCTGGGCTCAGACAGACAACAACTGTAAGGAAACACATTAGGGGAGAAATGTCTAGGCTCTCCAGCTGGGAAATGTGTTTCAGTTGCAATTACCCTTCCCAAAGCCAGGAGGCATTTCAGCCTAAAAAAAGCCAACTGGCCCATCTTTGGGGTGGTGCCAGCATCTATATATCTAATTCCCAACTTGCCCCCGGAGTGCGGATCGCTAAATTAGCGCTCCGGGGGCAGCTGGGGGGGGCGGGGGAGGTTTGTGCACACGTGGGCCAGTCCCCACATGTGCACAAAAATAAAAAAAATTGAAAAAAATTTCGGGGGGATGTTTAAATCCCCCCGAAAGTGCAAGAGCGTCTCCTGCGCGTGCGCAGGAGACGCTCTGCGACCTACCGGGCTTGCGTACGGGGGAAGGGAGACAGGCAGGAAGGCAGGCAGGGCGGGGGGGAGGGAGGGGAAGGACCGGCCTTGCCGCCGCCTTCTGGGAGCCAGCCGGCCGGCCGGCTGGCGGGCGAAGACCGGCCTCGCCACCGCCGCTGCCGCCTCCTCTTTGGAGCTGGCCGGCCTGCCGGCCGGGCAAGCAAACACGTGGGCAAGGGGGAGGGTGGGGAAGGACCAGCCTCACCGCTGCCGCCACCGCCTTTTGGGAGCCGGCTGGCAGGCAGGCAGGCCAGGCTGCCTGGCAGGCGAGCGAAGACTGGCCTCGCCGCCGCCGCCGCCTCCTCTCTGGCAGGCGGGCAGGGAGGAATGGCTTCGTTGCCGCCGCCGCCGCCTCTTCGGAGCCGGCGGGCGGGCAGGGGGGAGGACAGGCCTCGCCGGCTGCCACCGCCGCTGAGCCCGGCAAAGGGGGGGAGGACAGGCCTCTCCACCTCGGAGCCGGGCGGGGGGGGGCCCCGCCGCCCGCGGCCCCCGCCGCCGAGCTCGGCAAAGGGGGGGGGAGGACAGGCCTCTCCGCCTCAGAGCCGGGCGGGGGGGGGACCGGCCTCGTCGCCGCCGCCTGGGGGAGAACGAGCGGGGGGGGAGAGGAGACGGAGCTCTTCCCCCCCCGCGAGCATCGCGGGTCCCCCTCTTGTTTTTTCTAATAATAAAAAGCCTTAAATGATAAATCCGTGAAAGAATTCCTGTATTAGAAGAAAACATGGGCCCTTTCTGAAGGTGTTGTCCTCCCTTACCCCCTATGAATCATTGTCCGTCCCTTGTTAATATGTGTAACTGTAAATCGCTCAGAGCCAGTAGCTCTGCAGGATTGAGCGATTAATAAATCGAAATATATTATTATTGTTGTTGTTGTTGTTATGTCTACTGAAGTCGACCAGCTTAGGAGGATGTAACTCTACTTAGAACTGCACAGTAAATATATTTGCATAAAAGGCTGCCCCAATCCTTTGTCAACGTCAGGCGACCAGAGACAAAAGAAGATGGAAATCCTGACCCTCAGAGGTTCCCAAACGTATTTGGCCTACCACCCCCTTTTCAGGAAAAAAATTAATTATTTATTTATAACTTTAGATTTGTATCCCGCCTAGCCAGGGCAAACTGGCTCAAGGCGGTGTACACAATAAAATAGATAAAACAATAAATACATTAAAATTGTCAAAATTCGTAAAAACAGCAATTTACATATATGTTAATAAATACAGATGGCGGTTGTTAGCAATGCTCCCTCTAAGCTACGGAGTCTTGCGAGCAAAAATTCTACTTGGTGAGCTTCTGGCATTAAAGTTATGAGTGAGCAATCTGGGTACTGCATAAATTAGTTCGCTCAGGAGCCCTCCTTCCTAAGACAAAAATGTGTGAGCCGGAGGCTAAAATGCTGTGAGCTAGCTCACACTAACTCAGCTTAGAGGGGACACTGGCAAGAAGGCCATGCACCAACGTTGTGATATAGGGCCGTAACATGTTCAGTTTCCGATGGCTCCAGTGGCGGCTCCTAGTCGAAGGCCTGGTGGAAGAGCTCCGATTTACAGGCCCTGCGGAACTGTAGAAGGTCCCGCAGGGCCCTGATGTCTTCCGGGAGCTCATTCCACCAGTGTGGAGCCACCACTGAGAAGGCCCTAGCCCTCGTGATGGCCAATCTGGCGTCTTTCGGCCCAGGGATCCAGATGCCAATTACTCAGCGCCACCCTGGATAGCTACCTTCAAGAAGTAGACAAAAAGATGCAGTTTGTGGATCTGCACCTGGATCGCTCCAGCGCCCCCCAGGGCGCGGTATTGCCCACTTTGGGAACCAGTGGTGTAGAAGAAGGGATGCACATAGCAGGTCATACAGAGAGAAGAAAACCTGCGCCCATTCAAATTCTCTCGCATAGCTTTGAAGCACAGAAGTTTTTGCCTGGTTCAAGCAATGTTCTCCTACAACCTCTCGGTGTGATATGGGGAGTGAGACTGTGCTCGCTCCCATGAGATCTGAATAGGGCATATTCAGCAAAGCAAGCTGCCTTCTACTGAAGCAGACCATCGGTCCATCACGGCCAGTGTTGTCTAATCAGGCTGGCAGCGGCTCTCCAGGGTCTCAGGCAAAGAAAGGCCTTTCACATCACCTACTGCCTGGTCCTTTTCACTGGAGGTGCCGGGGATTGAACCTGGGACCTTCCGCATGCCAAGCAGAGGCTCAACCACTGAGCCAGAGCTCCTCCCCAGGGGGAAGGTGCCGAGCCATAGCCTCTCTACAGGTCCCATTTTGTAAGTATGTCCAGAAGGGAGGGTAGAGGAAGGGCTGCCTCAGTGCTTAGTTCTTGTGGCCCTTTCTTACATGTGCCCAGGGACATGCCAATCGCCACTTTGGGGTCAGGAAGCCATTTTTCTCCAGGTCAGTTTGGCCAGGGATCCTGGAGGGTTTTTTGTCATCTTCTGGGCATGGAACAGGGGTCACTGAGGGTGTGTGTTGGGGGGGAGGTATTTGTGAATTTCCTGCATTGTACCGGGGGATGGATTAGATGACCCTGGAGGTCCATTCTAACTCTATGATTGTAAGATTGTATGATTCTATGGTCCAAAAACAACCAGACAGACAACCAACCTCGAGTTTTGCTGTCCTTTCAGGAAGCGCCTCTAAGTCCACGCCATGCAGCAACAGCGTGGAATCTTGCAAGGTATTCTTCACAGCATCTATTTCATTGCTTGCCTTGGCCCGGTCTTGAATCTCATACAGCACAGCATCCTTTTGCTTCTGAGCCTTTTGTTGGAGCCTGAGAAACGGGAACGACATTCAGTAGATGTTTCGATGGAAACCAGGCTCCATGAGACGGGTAGGGTTGTTAAGATAAAGCTGACAATCGGTTTCTTTCCCTCTCATTTAGGAATCCGGAGCCAATTCCTCATCAATTCCATTTTGATTAAAAAGAGATCCATTTTGATCAAAAGAGAAACTTGAAGAGAGGAGGGGCAGGAAGGAAGGAAGGTTCTGCAAAATTTCAGAATTTCACAGTGTCTTCCCCCAAACTTCCTGTACCCCTCTAAGGGTGCCACCACAGCAAGACCTGAAGTTTACAAAAACGGTGCATTGATCTCTTTCATCAAAGAAATGAAAGAGAATTTCCTCCTTTAAAACAGAAAAAAAAGAGAATAAGAAGAATCAGTGGCTGTACTGGAAAAAGGGAACTTCAGAAAAAGAAATTTCCCTCCCCATAGCAAGACTAGAAATGGGGGCTTCTATTATCATCCTGCAATACTGTATCAGATCTGCAACCTGTTTTTTTTAGGAAAATCCTCAAACCTTGTAATAATGTTAAAAAATGCAACAGAGGCCAGTGTAAAGCACCCTTTTTCATTAAAAGGTGAAAACAACAAAATACACATGGGTCGGAAGGGAAAATAAGAGAGTGGGGAAAAATGGATTTTTGTAAAATTGAGCTGTGGCTAGGGTTGCCAGTTATTGGTTGGGAAATAACTGGAGATTTTGGGGGTGGAACCTGGGGAGGGGAGGGTTTGGGGAGGGGAGGGGCCTCCGCAGGAAATAATCCCCACAGAATCTGTTCTCCAAAGCAGCCGCTTTCTCCAGGGGAACTGATCTTGGTTGCCTGGAGGTCAGTTGTAATAGTGGGAGATCTCCAGGTGCCACCTGGAGGGTGGCAACCCTAAATGTAGCACAGGCACCGGCTGCTTCAGGACAGGGCACAGCACCTCTCAAAAGAAGGCCATAGCAACCTGTTGAGCCGAACAGGAGTCGAAGGTGCACCACTTGTAGGAAGTCTCTCTCCCACCAGGCAGTGGCTGAAATTGCAGCAGGGGCAGGAGGTGTGGCAGCCCAGGGCATCAGCTGGGAACAGGGGAGAGGCAGCGAGGGCCTCGGGGAGCCCTATGGAAACCCAGGTGAGGGGTGGCAAGCCAAGGAAGGGGAAAAGGCTTGAACAAGGCTCAAAGAAGGGAAGGGCGGTGCTGGCCTCGGCCAACAGTGAAGGTGAAGGGAGCTGTGCTCCTGTGGAAGTCTGTGTGGCCCTTGGTCATTCCAATAAAGAGACACTTAAAAACACTATTGCATCTGGTGATTCTTTGCTGCCCATAGAAGACACTTGTCAAATCCTGCAGCCCCCCGGTGGGGCCACACAAACATGAAGACCAAACAAAATGAGAATCAAAATCTAACACACACAACCCCCCCCCCAAAAAAAAACCAACCCTGCAGCACACAGAGGGAACGGTCATTTCTGCTGAACATGGACGAAGCGAGAAATAAAACTGAGGAAGAGAGAAATAAAACAGAGCAACTCAATCCAGGAACAGGCAAAGATCTCTGAGTCTTCTCTGAGTCTCTGTCCCAGGGCCTACAAAAGATCTTCAAAGGGACACTCCAACATGAAACTGCTGAATTAGGATTCTCCATGACACAAAACTCCCAGGATATCATGTGGTCCGGCCATTTCATTCCAGCTCATGAAAGCCACTGCACCTCTTCAACATTTAAAGTATTATGATCTTTCTGGATTACTTCCTCACTAATTTTGCAATTTTGCGATTTCCATGCCAATGCCCCTTTTCATTTATCTACTGAAAATGCTTATGCCCTTTTCTCTGTACAAATATCTACAAGGTGACTTCCAACGTAACAGCGTTACAAAAAAAGGGGGGGGGGATTAAACACTGCAGTAAAAATTCAGCACAGCTGCTAAAACAGGTTAAAATCAGAAGCTAAAGCTACTGAAACAGCATCTGATTAAAATATTTACAGATTGTAAATTCAGAGCCAGATCCATTTCTGTGGGTTCCACTACATAGGCAGGGCCGGCTCACTCACTAGGCGAACTAGGCGATCGCCTAGAGTGGAACGGCCCTTAGGGGCACCAAATTGCACCAGGCCCCATACTCTGGGAGTTTCTTGATTATTTGTGTTTTTCATTCTTCCTAAAATGCATTTACTTTTGAAAATTGGTGGGCGGAGGGGGGGGGCAGAAGGGATCCTTGCCTAGGGTGCAAAATAAGCTGGAGCCGGCCCTGTACATAGGGGCCGCAAGCAATGTTCCCTCTAAGCTGTGGAGTCCTGTGAACAAAAATTCTACCTTGCGAGCTACTGGCATTAAAGTTGTGAGCGGCCAATTTTGCTACTGCCTACATTAGTTTGCTCTGGAGCCATCTTTCCTGAGCTGAGTAAAAAATGTGTGAGCCGGAGGCTAAAAAATGGTGAGCTAGCTCACACTAACTCAGCTTAGAGGGAACACTGGCCGCAAGTAAGAAGGCCCTGTTCCCACTATAACTCATTTGGTCACACAAGAGGCAAGTTTTCTGATGACAATGTCCACCGTGGTGCACATTCATATAAGAGAAGGCAATCTTTCAAGTTCCAGACTGTGCAGAGCTGAAGTTCTTTTCTGAAGCAATTTACTTAACGGAACATAAAATATTACAGGAATACTTACTCTTTCAGTCGATCGTGCATGACACGAATCTCCCTCACAACAGGAACGTCTTTTCCCTTCTCTGTGGGACCTTGAGGGATGTTTAGAATGTGCCTTATGCGGTGAAGTATTAAGCGCAGGAACCACTCCTCAGCTTTCACACCGTCCTCATAACAGTTTGCGCATTCCAGAAATGCCTGCAGTTCCTCTTTGGTGGATCTCTCTTTCTCTTTGGGGTTTTCAGGTAAATCTTCCTGAAGATTGTCTAGAATGATCGTCTCTCGCTCAATCTGGATGGGAAGCAGGAGAAGAAGAAGAAGAAGAGATTGGATTTATACCCCGCCCTTCACTCGGGAGTCTCAGAGCGGCTAACAAACTCCTATCCCTTCCCCTCCCCACAACAGACAGCCTGTGAGGTGGGCGGGGCTGAGAGAGCTCTCTCGAGAACTGCCCTTGAGAGAACAGCAACCCCGGTCTTCCCAGGTGGTCTCATATTCCAAGTACTACCATGGCCAACCCTGGTTAGCTCCCAAGCTCAAATGAGCCCAGGCTAAGACGGGCTATTTGGGTTGTTCACTGTGGAGAAAGGCGACATATAAATGAAATAATACATGAAATAACTAAGAGCGCGACGTTTCGTACGCTTTTCTTTTCACAGAAATTCTGGGCGGTATTTATAATTACAAAAGCCAGCGTTCATCATTAGCCCTATTCCCCCCATCTTTACTTATGGAGTGTGAGGCTAAGACTGTTCAGAGTCAGACTACATCTGACAATGAACAGTCAATGCCATTGACCAATACAACCACACTGCATGACATGACATAAAACATTCCACCCTTTCCAGCCCCTCTGCCATCAGAAGCTAGTCTGAGGCTGAATGTCCTGACCAATGTTCCCTCTAAGCTGTGCTAGGGGGTGCTGGCGCACAAAGTTTTAGCTGGCAGCTCAGGGATCTTTGCATCAGCTCAAAAGTGAAGGCATTTTCCCCTCCACTGGAAACAATGGAGGATGGGGGCACCTCCTTCTGGGGCCCATATTATTGGACCTCCTGGTTCAATCTTTTTGAAACGGGGGGGGGGGTAGCCGCTCCTACCTGGATCGATTCTCCATTATAGCCTATGGGGCCTATTGACTATAATGGTCCCCATAGGTTATAATGGAGCCAGGGGAAAAAAATTCCCCATACCCCCATTATGCTTTTCAGTATGATTTGTAAGCTGCCTGGAGTCAAAGGGAAAAGTCTAGCTCACCACCTAGTGGTGCATAATGCTAAAAAGAGCTAGTACTTCAAAGCAGCCAGACAATCTTAGGATCTCCTGGCTATACCACACACAACACCATACGATAATTAAGAAGAGTGGAGAACAATGTGGTAAACTGCTTTGAGTCCTCATCGTGGAGAAAAGTGGGGCATAAATATCTAAACAAACAGGGATGGCCAACAGGTGTCCCAAGATAGTCGGTATCCAAAATAACTTTTTCTAGCCCCAAGGAGCTGCACTCATTTACATGCACTTATTGATTTATATCCTGCTTTTCTCCCCACAGCTGGGACTCAAGAGCAGCTTAAAACATTGTTCTCCCATCCTCCATTCTCTCACAAAAATCTTGTGAGGCAGACCCGGCCAAGAGTTTGTGACGGGCCCAAGGTCACCCGGCAAGCTTCCATGGTAGAAAGTGCCAATGCAAACCTGGGTCCCCCAGGGTCTTGGTCCCCCACAACGCTAGCCATGAACAAGAACATAACATTTAGGAGGAAAGTCCAGTGGAACCCCTACAGCTTCACAGAGTTTGAATGGAAGGTATTTAACCACGTACTTACAAGAAGAAGAGTTGGTTTTTATACCTGACTTTTCACTATCCAATGGAGTCTCAGAGCGGCTTATAATCGCCTTCCCTTCCAGTTTGGTGGAAGTGGTTAAGTGCACGTGGAGAGCCAGTTTGGTGTAGTGGTTAAGTGCGCAGACTCTAATCTGGGAGAACAGGGTTTGATTCCCCACTACTTCACTTGCACCTGCTGATGTGACCTTGGGTCAGTCACAAGCTCTGGCACAGCTGTCCTTGAAAAAGAGCAGTTTGTGTCAGAGTTCTCTCAGCCCCACCCACCTCACAGAGTGTCTGTTGTGGGGAGGGGAAGGGAAAGGAGTTTGTAAGCCGCTCTGAGACTCCAAGTGAAGGGCGGGGTATAAATCCAATCTCTTCTTCTTCTTCTTCTTCTTCTTCTTCTTCTTCCTCTCCCCACAACATGCACCCTGTGAGGTAGGTGGGGCTGAGAGAGCTCTGAGATAACTGGGACTGGCCCAAGGCCACCCAGCTGGCTTCACGTGGAGGAGTGGGGTCGGGGACTCAAACCCAGTTCTCCAGATTAGAGTCCGCCGCTCTTAACCACTACACCACATTTAGCTCACCTACGGAGATACAGCGCTGGTGTGGTGGTTAAAGTGACAAACTATGACTTGGGTTCAAATCTCTGCTGCGAAGCTTCCTGGGTGGGTTCTGAACAAGAACTGGGAGATGGCCCATCCCTGCTTTAGTCTTTATTTAAAGCACTAGTTATGGTATAAATAAAACATTATTAAAAACACAATAAACAAAATGCCACAATCAGGTTGCTGATGGGAATCCCAATTCGGGAGCACATCCGACCTGTGCTGCAGGCATTGCACTGGCTGCCTATAGCATACCGGGTTCACTTCAAGGTGCTGGTACTTACCTTTAAAGCCCTTTATGGCCAGGGACCTGCATACCTGAGGGACCGCCTTTCCCGATATATGCCCCAGAGAACGCTGAGATCTGGGACCCAGAATCGGCTGGCTCTCCCAAGCTTCAAGGAGGCCAGATTGGTTGCAACTAAGGCCAGGGCGTTTTTGGTGGCGGCTCCTCTCTGGTGGAACGAGCTCCCAGAAGAGAACAGGGCCCTGAGGGACCTGTCACAGTTCCGCAGGGCCTGCAAAATGGACCTCTTCCGCCAGGCCTTTGGAGCCACCGCCACCTAATACTCCATCGCCAGTAATTAATAGCTATGCTGGCTGAACCCTGACCCACCGGTCCCTTAAATACTGCCCGTGCCAATCACCTAAGATAGCCGAAGAAGACCGAAGAGCCGACCGTAAACTGAGGATATTGTGTTTTACCATGTCTGAGTTTTTAATATTGTATGTATATTAAGTTATGAGATTTTACGCATTGTATTGTCCCATTTTACTCTGTTGTAGGCTGCCCTGAGCCAGCCTAGGCCGGGAGGGCGGCGTAAAAATCAAATAAATAAATAAAGAAAACTATAAAATCTATAAAAGTCACAGATCAAAAACTCCAATAATAAAAGCTAAATGAATCAAAATGCAGCCCCAATTAAAACTGTCTTCAACTGCCTCCTGAAGATCAACAACGGGGAGGGGGGGCCCAGGCACACCTCCCTGGGGAGGTTGCCCCATAATTGTGGGGCCGCCACGGAAAAGGCCTCTCTCACGTACCCAACCAAATGAGCGTCTTTAATTGGTGGGTAGAAGACACACAGGCAACATAAATTGATCCAAAATTTACTCAAGAGTTGAAGCAAAGGTCTGGGAGCAGGCTATAACACTCTGACTAAAAATTAATTACAACCGGAGGGGTCTAATACCTGACCCTTTAGCCTCGGACCCTTACCCTGCCTGGCCCACACAAATTCTTAATCAGTTAAATCAGATTGGCCTATTCCCAGAAGATCTCTTCTATGGAAGCCTATACAAGGCAAGAACAGCTGTCGCGCAGAGGCTTCGTGATATTGAATTACAAAATGTAGACGCTTCGCTACCCAAGAACTTCAGAAATATAAAATCTTGGCCTAATTTTACTGCTGCCCCTTATTTAGTTAACATTATTTATTTATTTACTTATTATTTTAGATTTATATCCCGCCTTGCCTACCTATGAGCCTTATAGATGGGCCTTTTCCAGAGACCGTTTTGAGGCACTCCCTTCCAATGTATTGCAAGGTAAAATCGCTTGAGTTCCAATGCATGAATGTATATGCCCATGCATGGCTAATAGGGTGGAATCAGTTACTCATGTCCTCCTGTTCTGCAGATTCTATCAGGAGGAACGAGACCATCTTATACTGCCCCTTCTGTCTAGATTTAGCCCTCTGCAGTCTTATCTTGACTTTAGGCCAGAAGTCCTTTGTAAATTCCTCCTAGAAGATGTTCAGAGCTCAGTGACTTACGCTGTGGCAAACTTTTGTTGCTTAGCTATTAGCTAAGATTATTTTAGCTGAAAAAAATTGTATGATTCTCTTATCAATATTATTTTATTTTACCAATTTTCTTAATTTTCTCTTGTTAATGTTTTTATACTATTGCTATGTTATTATTGTTTTAATCTTTCTCATATCAGAATTGTACTGTTTTACTGGTTCTTGCGGTAATAAATTAGATCCCGTAAGGGATATCGACAGTTGCAGCCACCCACTGACTCACCTCCTCGCTGACAGATTTCCACGCCTGGCTCTGCTCCTCACACCTGCCCTCCCATCCCCTGGCCTCCTTCAGCAAGCTCAGCCACTTCAGCCACATGGCAGACATGACACTGTCCATCAGCAGGCGGTCGTTTTCTTTGCACATCGGGCTCAGATGCCCCAGGTCCCGCCGCAACTTCACAAGATCCTCTTCCATCGAAGCCAGTCGGGAGGCCAATGCCTTTCAAGGAAAAAGCATAGAAAAGCTTTATTTTTTTTAATTTTAAAAACTTCTACTCCATTTATAAAACAAAAGTCCAGCAGCACTGTAAAGATCGTCGCGTGTTACGTTCCGTCAAGTCGCTTCCGACTTATGGCGACCCTGTGAACGAATGACCTCCGAAACACCCTATTGTTAACAAGCCTTGCTCAGGTCTTGCAAACTGAACGTAAGAACATAAGAGAAGCCAATGTTGGATCAGGCCAATGGCCCACCCAGTCCAACACTCTGTCACACAGTGGCCAAAAATACCAGAAATACCATCAAGAGGTCCATCAGTGGGGCCAGGACACTAGGAGCCTTCCCACTCTTGCCCCTCCCAGCACCCAGAAGACAGAGCATCACCTGCCCCAGAGTTCCTATCTATACCTTGTGGCTAATAGCCACTGATGGACCTCTGCTCCATATGTTTACCCAATTCCCTCTTGAAACTGTCCATGCTTGTAGCTGCCACCACCTTCTGTGGCAGTGAATTCCATGCATTAATCACTCTTTGGGTGAAGAAGGACTCCCTTTTATCCGTTCTAACCCAACTGTATTGTGGGAAAGGGCGAAAAGGACTTCTTTCTCGACCTGCTCTATCCCAGGCATAATCTTATAAACCTCGATTATGTCACCCCTCAGTCGTTGTTTCTCCAACCTAAAGAACCCCAAGTGCTTTAACCTTTCTTCGTAGGGAAAGTGCTCCAACCCTTTTATCATTCTAGTTGCCCTTTTCTGCACTTTTTCCAATGCTGTAATATCCCTTTTGAGGTGTGGTGACCAGAACTGAGGGTCATGGTTACCCTGATGGAGTCAATCCACCCACAATGCCTGAGCCGGAAGTGAGTGGCCGACACAGACAGGAAGGCGAGATCCAGTCAGACGGTCAGGGCCTTTAGAAACGGCTGTGGACAGGTACAGGACAGGACAGGAAGGAGAGGCAGGCCGGGAGCCAGGTGTTGGGGGCAAAAGGGTTCCAGAAGTGGCAGCTGCAGAGGAGAGGCTGGGACTGGCGGTGCTGGGAGTGAGGGTGGCGGCAGCCAAAGAGGAGTCAGCTCCCACAGCTGGGAAGGCAGGAGCAGCGGCCGAGGAAAGCCCCACGGAGGCACGAGATCTCCTTGAGATGACAGGCAAAGGACTGGACAGTGAGTTCACCGGAGCCGCTGGGGAGCAGCTGTCCAGGGTGGCAGGGGCAAAGAGGAGAAGAGGAGAGGAGATTGGATTTATACCCCGCCCTTCACTACCCAAAGGTGTCTCAGAGCGGCTTACAAACTCCTTTCCCTTCCCCTCCTCACAACAGACACCCTGTGAGGTAGGTGGGGCTGAGAGAACTCTTGACAGAAACTGCTCTTTTTCAAGAACAGCTGTGCCAGAGTTATGGTTTGCCCAAGGTCATCCAGCCAGGTGCAAGTGGAGGAGTGGGGAATTAAACCCGGTTCTCCCAGATTAGAGTCCGCGCACTACACCAAATTGGTGAAGATGAGTTTGCGGGACCTCGGAGCCTCCAGAAAGACTCAGAATCTCCTGTGGGCAAGATGGCAGGGGTAGAACTAAGGGAAAAGAGGGGTGTGGGGGAGGAGGCGGGGAAATGGGCCAGAGCTTATCCCTGGGAAGGACTTTTTAGGAGGACTCTGGGCCAAGGACTCGGGGGTGGCGAAGGGGCTCTTGCGGGATTTTGAGGACTGTGCAGCAACTGGAGATGCTGAGTTGGTTGGGGAAGTGGGAAGGCACAGAGGCCTAAGCTGAGTTAGTGTGAGCCGGCTCACAGTTTTTTAGCCTCCGGCTCACACATTTCTTGTCTCAGCTCAGGAAGGATGGGGCTCCAGAGCGAACTGATTTATGCAGTGGCCAAATCGCTTGCTCAAAACGTTACTGCCAGCAGCTCACAAAGTAGAATTCTTGCTCAGAAAACTACACAGCTTAGAGGGAGCATGGATAACAAGTATAAGGTATTGCACTGGTGCTGGGGAAAGCTAGATGAAACCAGTGGGCAAGGAGGAACTAGAGAAGGTGTCCCTGGTATAGCCACAGGGTTCTCTTGGTCTGAGGTCACTAAGGATCGTTAACAACATACCTTTTCCATGTTCTAGATGTGTATGAAGTGCTCTGAACACTCTTTCAAGCGCTATATAAATGCAAAACAGTGTTATTCCTCACCTTGCTTTGATCAGACTGCTCCAAAGCTTCTTTGTAAGATCCTGCCCTACGGTATAAAGATTTCCCAACTATCTTCTTTATATCATGAAGATCAGCACATATTTTCTCTTTGGATTTTGTAAAGCGGCGGTATTTTTCAAAACATCTGTGGACGGCAACAGCATTAGATGAGACTGTTCAAATGTACCCGTTTTGATCAATTACACAATTATCCTCTCTCCGTTTTTATCACTGGCATAAAGCACTGCACAGACACACAAAATAAGCCTGATTTTCTCCCCACTTTTCTCATTAAGAATAAGAGTGCCCTTATTCTAATCCGTTCGAAATTGGGACTTGTTGAGTGACTTGATCCTTTTCCAAAGCCACCGTTTTAGGTTCAAATTCAGCCCCAGAATTGAACTGTTCCCGGATCTCCCCTGACTCCTCCCCCCGAGCCAGGTCGTCTCTTCCTAACACAAGCTAGCCAGTTTCTCACCTTTTCCTCACCTTTTCCTGCCTTAAAACTCTCTGGCAACGAATCCTCTTACTCAAGCTCAGAGAGAGGCACAAATGGATCGTTAGAAAACAAGGTAAGTGGGAGCCGTAATGGGGCCCATTTACACATTCCCAGGCAAGTCATTTAGTCGTTACATTTCAATGTCACAGAAATTTCTGTGCAACTCTGATTTGAATCACAGCGATGCATTAAGGGAGGATTACAGTGTCTGTCATGAAATTGGACGCAGCTTAATGGTTATGAATGTGACCTGAGATATTCCAAGTTCAGGTCTAATCTCGGCCACAAATTCAGTAAATAGTCTTTGGCAGCCCACCGCCCTACCAGCAGGGCTGCCAAAATACTTTGTTATTATTTTATTTACCTCATTTATGGTAGTTACAGCCAAGAGCTAGCACGGACCCCCCCCCCCCAGACAGGGATTTTATCTGGCTCCCCCAACCTAAAAACAATCACAGGGCTTGGAGCAGGGCCCCTCCCCGTTATCTGCCTCATTAGCAGCCTAATAGCCTCGTCTAGCCTGCTCTCATCAGAGCCTGGGAGCTAAGCAGGGTTGGCCACGGTCCGTACTTGGATGGGAAACCATCGAGGATGGCTGGAGTTGCTATGCAGAGGAAGGCAATGGCAAGCCACCTCTGCTCATCTCTTGCTTTGAAAACCCTGCCTCACGGGGTCACCACGAGTGGGGTGTAACTTGACGGCGTGCATTCATTATCACAATATCTGCCTCTCAGCGGCTTCTTCTATCAGCCTGCAATCCTGTCCTAGCTACGATATGAAAAGATAGAGCCACGGGAACTGTGTAAAGTGCGCTCAATGTTTCTTTAACGATAGCAATAATGTTATAAATATGAAAATTACAAAAGTGATACTAATACATTCAAATTGTAAATCCAGTTACATAAGATAGAAGATAACAACGACGGCGGGACGGTGGTCTCCGGAATGTGATGCCGTTTCGACAAGCGTCTTCTTCTGACCAAGAATCTATAAGTAGATGATGTGTGGAAAATTGCACTTCAGTAGAAAAGCTACCCGATTCACATGGAGTTCAATAACAGCTTCACCTATTTCATTGCACAAGTAATGGAGAAAATTTCTCTCAGACGAAATAAAACTTTTCTATTGAAGTGCAATTTTCCACACATCATCTACTTATAGATTCTTGGTCAGAAGAAGACGCTTGTTGAAACAGCATCACATTCTGGAGACCACCGTCCTGCCGTCGTTGTTATCTTCTATCTTATGTAACTGGATTTACAATTTGAATGTATTAGTATCACTTTTGTAATTTTCATATTTATAACATTATTGCTATCGTTAAAGAAACATTAAGCGCACTTTACACAGTTCCCGTGGCTCTATCTTTTCATGTCTACGGACTGTGACCATATTTGTCTAGCTACGATATGGTCATGAGGACACTCGCTTATCTTACAGGCTTGTTAGATCGCGATGGGTCGCCCTGTTAGCCTGTCTGTTGCAGTAGAAAAGAGCAAGATTACAGGAGCACCTTCAAGACTAACAGAATCTGTGGCAGGGCAGGAGCTTTCGTGAGTCACACTGCTCACGTCTTCAGATACAGTTAGGACCTGTTACAGGTTGCTGTAAGCATGTATATCCCTTTTTGACTACAATGTCCTCAAAGGGTAGCTTTTTGACAACAAAGCCCTTAAAGCGCTTTAGAAATACATTCACTATTTATTCCCTCTTCCCACCTGTTATGCCCAGTGACTTCTTCAACCCTTCCACCCAAGACGAGAGGTACTTAACATCCTGATAGTTGAGAAGGAAACAGCCATGTGCTGTTCTGCCATCAATGGTGCAGTGAAAGTCCCCTGCCCCAAGTTAATTATAGTTCAAAAATTGATACCAAGTATTGGGGGGGGGGCTACAGAGGAAGAGGAGGAAAACAGATGCAAGGATAACAGCAAAAAAGTATGCATTCAGTTTGGGTTTATATAGACTCATAGAATGTTAGAGTTGGAAGGGGCCTTGCAGGTCCTCTAGTCCAACCCCCTGCCCTTTGCAGGAACATAGCCGAAAGATAGCCCTACAACATACCCGAAAGATGGTCGTCCAGCCTTCGCTTGAAAACGTCCAGCGAAGGAGCATCCACCACCTCCTGAGGCAGCCTGTTCCACTGCTCAACCACTCTTACAGTTTTAGGAAGTTTCTCCCGATATTGAACCGGTAACGACTCCCTTGTAATTTACACCCATTAGATCTAGTCTTGCAATCCGGAGCAAGAGAGAATAGATCCCCTCCATCTTCTACATGACAGCCCTTCAAATACTTGAAGACTGCAATCCTGTCCCCTCTAAGCCTTCTCTTTCCCAGGCTAAACATACCCAACTCTTTCAGCCTTTCCTCATAAGACTTGGATTCCAACCCTCTCACCATCCTGGTTGGCCTCTTCTGGACACGCTCGAGCTTGTCCACATCCTTCCTAAAATGTGGTGCCCAAAACTGGACCCAGTACTCCAGGTGACGCCTGACCATAGCAGAATAGAGCAGAACTCTATACTTAAGCTTCAGTTTGATAGGGAATAAGGACTCAGGAGCTATGTCAAAGCTTTCACAGAAAAGTTGGGGAGGGGTCATGGCTCACTGGCAGAGCATCTGCTTTGCATGCCGGAAGTCCCAGGTTCAATCCCAGGCATTTCCAGTTAAAAGAATTGGGTAGCAGGTGATGAGAAGGACCTTCCGCTGAGTTTTTTTGAGAGAGACATTGCTGGTCAGAATAGACAATACCGAACTTGGTAGACTGATGGTTTTGACTCTGCATCAATGTGTTAGGTTTTGAAAAAGCGACATGGCACCACCAAAAAGATGTTCTGAGGGGGCTATTATTATTATCTTATGACATCATGTGCAGAATAGCCAGGAGATCCTAAGACTGCCTGGCAACCAGAAGTTCCAGCTCTTTTAGCGTTATGCACCACTAGGTGGCGAGCTAGACTTGTTTTTTAGGCAAGAGACATTTCAGCGGTGGCTTGCCCTTGCCTGCCTCTGTGTTGCAGCCCTGGTATTCCTTGGAGGCCACCCTTCCAAATACTAGCCGAGGATGACCCTGCTTAGCTTCTGAGATCTGGCTAGCCTGGGCTATCCAGGTCTGGGAAGTATTCCAGGCTGAATAAATACAAAGAACTGTTATCGCTTGCTAATATTATTGTAAACACACGTTTCATATTTACTGTCAGCCAGTTATCTTGAGACAAGAAATTACGATATTGATTAAACTGTGGACCTACCTCTGAATATGAGATTTCCTCTTCAGATTTTGCTCCTTTATTTCCAAGCCCTTAGCAACTAGATCACAAAGTGTTTCTTCCAACTGTGGCTTGAGGTTTGGCTTAATGAGGCTTCGCAGGTTGGAGGTCAGGGTTTCTACTTCAGCCTTTGCTGCCTCAAATTCTTCTTGCGTACGGTGAGGAAGCAGGCAAGACTCTTCTAGCTCGCACAAGCTGAGCAGAGGAGAGGAGAGGAGGGATTCGTGCTGATGGACGAGATCCGCGGCCTTCTGGACAGCTTCGTTGTAAGACTTCACAGTCCTGTAGGCCTCCTCTAAGGCACTCTGCACGTGAAGAGAAGGATCCAGAAGGACAGCTTAAAAATGCTACAGGATTCTGTAGGCTAAAAACCTTAGTCTCTTGCCTTGTCAGTTGACCCCCATAAGCACCATTTTGTATATCACATTAACTTCTGTCAGGAACAGGGCTTTTTCAGTGGTGGCCCTAAAACTGTAGAACACCCTTTCCTAGGAAGCCCAGGTGATCCCCTTTCTTGCCATTCTCCAAAGGCAAATGAAAACACTTTTTTATTTCATTAAGACTTTACAGAGTTTAATTTCTTGTTGACATTAATTTTGCTGTTGTTGTTTCAGGTGAATTTTGATTTATATAGTGGTGTAGTGGTTAATAGTGTATGGCTAGTATCTGAGAGATACGGGTTCAAATCCCGACTTGTGCCATGGAAGCTCGCTGGGTGACCTTGGGCCAGTCACACTCTCTCAGCCTACCCTCCCTCATTGGGTTGTTGTGAGGGCAAAGTGGAAAAGAGGAGGAGGATGTAAGCTGCCTTGGGTCCCCATTCGGGAGAGAGGCGAATAAAGTAAATAAACAAAATAAAATAAAGAGATAACTGATTGTAAATCTTGTTTTGTGAACGGATCTGAATCCTCACAAGTTGAAAAGCGTAATTATCACAGATAAACACATAAATAAATCCCTAAGCTATGGATTGCCTCTAGCACAAATGTTACAAGAGGTGGGATATGGAAAAAAAGATCGGCCAGCATATGGAAGACACAGATCTAACAAACCATAGAGTTTTCCCTCGAATGACCGTAGCCCCACCCCCAGCATGCCCGGCGTGCCCGCGTCACTTTCGGGCGACGTGCACATCGGGGTGGAGTTCCCCCTGGAGCCCGATCCGCCAGCGGCGGGGAACGGGCCTCTGGGGCGGGGTTTTCCCCGCCCCCCGGGGGACTTGGCAAGCCTATGCTACAACAACTTGGATACGTATATATATATATATATCTCCAAAAGGAGACTTCAACAAAGTGAAATGCATATATAGTCAGGAATGAATCTATTCATATAATCCATCATGGGAAAATACAGACGCCAACAAGATCCAGAATAGGAAAATACAGAGTCCAAAGTATAAATATACAAGATAAACATCCAACACTTTTCCTAGGCAATTTTCAGTGTTTCAGACTTCTGGTCCTTCCTCAGGAACAAAGAACTGGGGAAGTATAAAATGCAATAATACTTTTTAAACAATATTACTTTTGTAATAATATTTCAAAAAGACTGATCCCAATAATACAAAAGAATCCTATTAAATATTGTGCTGTTTCTTAAAATATTCTTAATTTTTTAATATAAAATTCTAAGGAGAAATTCTCTTTTACAGAGAAACAGAATAACATTATCCTATAAGGAAATGGAACAACACTCCCAATAGTTCGTAAGATTTAATGAGACTCTATGCAACAGTGATAATAATATAATGAATTTAATAGGACTATTTTGTATCCTTTGAAAATATGCTGTTTTTTCCTTTAAAATGCTAATTACAAGAAAGTAGCATTGTTACTAATTAGTGAAACCAAGTGGAGTTTGGAAGGTGAAGTCCATCTTTCTTGCATTACACCAAGGCAAACTGAGGCTGCACAAGCTATCACTTCGCATTTTATGGATGGAATAAGACATATGGAGCAGGGGTCCATCAGCGGCTATTAGCCACAAGGTATAGGTAGGAACTCTCAGTCTGGGGCAAGTGATGCTCTGTATTTTTGGTGCTTGGGGGGAGCAACAATGGGAGGGCTTCTAGTGTCCTGGCCCCACTGATGGACCTCCTGATGGCACCTGGTATTTTTGGCCACTGTGTGACACAGAGTGTTGGACTGGATGGACCATTGGCCTGATCCAACATTGGCTTCTCTTATGTTCTTATGTGATCTTTGATCCCTTAGTGGTGGCCCTGATTTGGCTGAAAGGCAGGATATGAATCCTGTAAATAAAACAAACAAACAAACCATAATTCATGGGGCAGGGGCTCTACTATGGAGGCCCTGTGGCCAAAAAGCAGCACAGAAATTACTTCATTAAGTAGCACCTAGGGATTAACAGGAAGTGTCTGTATCTAGCCATACTTACTATACGTGTGGCAACGCATTCTTTCAGCTGTACTCTCAAGTTTTGCAGTTCATCTAATTTTGTTTGCAGGTCATTGGGAGGTTTGTCTTCCACGCCTCCCCTCTCTTTTTTCATCAGCTCTTCAGCAACACAAAGTTCTACTCCCATGACATCTTCAAGCGCTTTGCAGTACATCTTTTCACCGAGGATCATATATGTTTCCAAGTCGACCTGGAGGGGTTGCTGGAGCTCAGCTTCGACTTGCCTCCAGATCTGCAAATTATGATCCAGCCTGCTCCGAAGATCTGGTTTAGGGATGCATTTTTCTTCAAGAGCCGATATCTGACTCTGTATCGCTTGTGCCAACCCATCTATTTTGTCTCCCAAGTTCTTTACTTGCTGCCTCTTGGCTGCCTTGAGAGACGCGCCCAGGGTCTCGCTTTTGTCTAACTGACTGAGTTCCTCCTGAGTTAAGGACCTGGCCTGCTGCAATCTCTGACTCAAAATCTTTGCTGAGATCAGTCCGGTTTCAGGGGCAGAGCCAGAACCATCTCTTAAGGCCTCGCAGTCTTTCTGAAGGCTAGATACAACCGCTTCGACCTCACTGAGCGGCATTTGGTACCCGTCGCATTCTGCAGAGAAGCCTTTCGCCGCTTGGCAAAGCTGGCTCTGCAGTTCGTCGAGGCGGCCGCGTGAGACGTCCCATTTCAGACCCAGGCATTCCCACACTTCCTTGTATCGGTGCAAATGTGACACACTGGACTGGATGTCCAAAGCTCTCTCCTTAAACCCATTCGATTTACCCTTGGCCTCTTCCCCTGTACTCAACAGCTCCCTGGCTTTCCAGTCCAACTCATCACCCTGGGGACCGCCGAGATCCTGCTGCAATGTGGTTATTTTTTCTGAGAGCTTTCTCCAGGCATTGATCTTTCTTTGCACCGTATGGCATCTGTTCTGGATGAGCCTGTAGGCGATCTTTGTTCTGCTCCCGAGGCTTCTCAAACAGTCGTCTAAAAATAATTGCTCGAATATATTTAGCCCCTGAGGAAAGTCTTTCAAATGTTCATCTATGAGGCCTTCCACTTCCTGAATGGCATTAGGAATCCTTTCCAAAGCAGCTCGGCACTGCTCCAAGTCAGAGACCGCGCTTGCTTCACAGGTGTCAGAGGCCGACGTCCTCTCGACCTCCGCAAGCTGGGCTTCAACTCTTTCTACATCTGCAAAAAGCCTTTGTCTCTTTCCCAGCTGAGATTCCAGCTGCTGCAACCTCTGTGCTAGTTTCAGGACAAGGTCGCAGTAGTCGGTTTGTAACTGCGAGGAAAGGGAGCCGAGGCCCGAGGCATCTCCAGGTTCCAAATGAGAAGCCATATTCCGGGCTTCATTCACCAGTTGTGTGAGAGCTGGTTCTTTGTCTTTAGCTTCTCCGATCATAGCCTGACAATTTTCAATTTGGGACACCATATCATCTGGGAAAAGCGCTGCCTGCTCATCCAGGTGGAGCGCCTTGACTCCGACCCACAAAACGGCCTCTTCTATCCTCTTCATAAGTTCATAAGACCGGGGAGAACTGCCAGCGAACCAGACCTCCTCCCGAGGGGTCAACTGCTCCAGTTCCTCCACTTGGTTCTGCAAATCGTTCATGGCGTTTTCCAGTGCCCCTTTTTCCGCATCACTCCACATCCTTTTCATCTGCATCTCGGCGTCCCTTTTGAACACAACGGCGCCGTGTTTCAGGGTCTGCAGCTCTACGGCCAGCGATGCCGGATGCGCGTTTGCTTCTCCACTGGGAACACTTAATCCCGTTCGCAAATGGTACTGCTGTTCTAGCGACCTCTGGAGGGCCTGTGCTTTACTCATGAGGAGTTTAAATTCGCTGGCCTCTGCTGTGACCTGAAGCTGCTTCCTTTGAAGCGAGTGCTCGCTCTCGTCCCACCATTGCTCCGCTTCCTCTACCTGGCTTTGCATTAACTCCTTGTCCATGTCTTTAAGATATCTGGATAAATATTCTTGCTGTGCCTTCAGGTCATTCAGAAGGTCTCTCTCTTTCTTCACGGAAGCCAAGCACTTCTGAATGCTTTCCAGAAGAACTGCGCCTTCCACAGGTCCCCTTCTGAAAGAAGAAGAAAAAAATATTCCAGTGTATTTAACTTGGTTTTTTTAAGGAACATTACTTTAAAAAAGGCCATTTCGCTCAGAACAGATCCGCTTAAGGAGTTATTCAATACCATTCCGCACAGTCGGTAGCTAGGTAAAGGGTCATTTGATAGCGGACACAACTTCACTGACTGGACGCTAGTTCTTGGCCGGTAGCCAGTTGCCTCACAAGAGAACCAAGATTACACACAAAAATGCTGATCGTTTCAAACTCGTACAGACAAGCTCATTTAGACAGACAAGACTGAAAAGGCAGTTGGAGATTTGTATTCCACTCGTATTTAAATATTTAGTAAGAATAAAATTCAGATTTAGACAAACGATTAAGGCAATATTCAGGTTTTAACGATGATTTAATTTTAGCCTAGATGTTTGTTCAACTGCTAAAGAGTTAATCTTTTATTGCTAAGAGATTATCGCTAACATGCGGACACTTTTTGTTTATTCTTTTAAAGAGAGGCTCTGTTCCAAAACACCGTAATATTGATGTTTTATTGTCTGCTTCTATATTTGAAATGTGTAATACATCTGATAATACATTTGATTTTTACTTGTTGTTTTCAACAACTCATAATATTTGATAAACTTGAGGAATCTGTTTTCCCCTACCGACCTTACCCTTTTGTATCCCACTTTTCCCAAGGAAAATTTAAAAAAAATAATAGAAAAAAAAGACAGAGGGTGGAGAGATCTATTTGTATTTATTCACATGACTGCCTTTTCATACGTATAGTGGAAAGTGGGAGAAACGTGTTAACAAAGACGAAGGATGGCAAGGTAATGAGGGAAAGGGGGCAGAGGTTTGCTTCCCTTCCCAGTGCCGTATGTTTTCATTCAAAAAAATAATAACCTCCAACTTCACATAGAAGAGGAGGAGGAGGAGGAGGAGGAGGAGGAGATTGGATTTATACCTCACCCTTCACTACCCAAGGGAGCCTCAGAGTGGCTTACAAACTCCTTTCCCTTCCCCTCCCCACAACAGACACCCTGTGAGGTAGGTGGGGCTGAGAGGTCTCTTTCGAGAACTACTCTTTTTCAAGGACAGCTCTGACAGAACTGTGGCTTGTCCGAGGTCATCCAGCAGCTGCAAGTGGAGGAGTGGGGAATCAAACCCGGTTCTCCCAGAGTAGAGTCCAATGTGTGTGTGTGTGTGTGTTTTTATGTATTGTAACCTAATAAAAAAATTTCAATCCTTAAAAAAAAGAAGCTAATACCCCACGCAGGATGATCCTATTGCTTTTTCATCCCACCCTCCCCCAAAGAAGGCTTGAGGCTCTGAACACCGTTCTCCTTTTCTCCTCTGCATGCTCACACCAACCCTGTGACTTAGGTCGGTAGACTGAGTCGCTGGCCCAAGGCCATCCAATAAGCCACATGGGACGTGAAACCGAGACTACTTAGCCTGACACTTTAACCCCCACATCATGCTGCCTTTCACACCTACATTTACTTCTACCAGACCATTCTACTTTCTTTCTTTTTCTTTTTGGCTTCTGTATCTTCAATAAAGGCTGCGGTGGCTCAAGTGGTTAAGACGCTGAACTGCAGACTGGAAGGTCAGTAGTTCAGCAGTTTGAGACCCGAGTGCTGCATGACGGAGTGAGCTCCCGTCTCTGGCCCCAGCTCCTGCCAACCTAGCCGTTCGAAAGCAAGAAATTGCAAGTAGATAAATAGGTACCGCTTCGGTGGGAAGGTAACAGCGTTCTGTGAGCCTCGGCGTCTAGTCATGCCGGCCACATGACCACGGAAACGTCTTTGGACAGTGCTGGCTCTTTGGCTTGGAAACGGAGATGAGCACCACATCCCTAGAGTCGGATTCGACTGGCTTTCGAGCAAGGGAGACCTTTACCTTTACCTTATCTTCAATGAAAGTCTGTGCTAGTTCTCTCAAGGTGCACCTATATTTTACAAAGTTGCAAGGAACCTGCGTCCAACACTCCTCTAAGATGATCTCCAGTCTTCTGTTCCGCCATCAGTAACCAACTCTTTTGAGTCTACCATTACGTGCGTTTCCAAGGAAGAACTGCACAGGGACGTGATATTCTCCCTCCTGGCACTCAGGCATCGTTTAAATATCCTGCAGAGGTAAAAGCACTCTCCCTTGGAACTCTGGACCTTCACAGAGACTAGTTGGAGATGGGTTACTAACTGTGCAAAACAGCTAGTAACACAGCATGAGTACTTTGCAAGGGACAGCAGCCCAGATTCAATGAGTGCCAAGTGGAAGGACAAAGTCCAATAGGTGAGGTCTTTTTTGCCCCAACCCACATCACAATGCGAGCAGGCTCAGCATTCTCCTGAAGCAAGGAAAAGCATTGTAAAAAAGACTAACAACATTTAGTCAACGCTCACTTCTAAGATGGGTAGCCGTGTTAGTCTGTCTGTAGCAGTAGAAAAGGGCTGCGGTGGCTCAAGTGGTTAAGACGCTGAACTGCAGACTGGAAGGTCGGCAGTTCGAGACCCGACTGCCGTATGACGGAGTGAGCTCCCGTCTCTGGTCCAAGCGCCTGCCAACCTAGCAGTTCGAAAGCAAGAAACTGCAAGTAGATAAATAGGTACTGCTTCGGTGGGAAGGTAACAGCATTCCGTGAGCCTTGGCATCTAGTCATGCCGGCCACGTGACCACGGAGAAGTCTTCGGACAGCGCTGGCTCTTCGGCTTGGAAACGGAGAGTCGGATTCGACTGGCTTTCGAGCCAGGGAAACCTTTACCTTTATCTTTAGCAGTAGAAAAGAGCAAGAGTCCAGTAGCACCATAAAGACTAACAACACTTGTGGCAGGGTAGTAGTTTTTGTGAGTCTGTTATCTGAAGAAGTGAGCATTTTGTTAGTCTTTAAGGTGCTACTGGATGCTTGCTCTTTTCTAGCACTGGATCTGTCATACACTTTTAGTTTAGCCTGCTTCACAGGGTTACTCAGAGGAAAAAAATGGGGAGGGGGGAGAGAATACTTTAGGCTCCCTGAGCTCCCTGGAAGGAGGGCGGGATAAAAATGTATGAGATATATTAACAGCAAACAAAGAGGGGGGGGGGGACAGAACAAGGTTATCTTCATCACTCCGTCTGTTGCAAAAGCAAAAAGAAGCCTCTGCGGGTGAATTAGTTTTTGCTTTGGAAAATTCAGCTCGTGTGTGATAAAATTTCAGAAAGATTTCCCTGCACTCACGTTTTGATGTGGTCTTTTCCCGCTGATAAACGTTTCATGGAAGACCGAACAGCAGCGAGGCGTTCTTGGTAATTATTAACTAAATGAAACTGATGCCGCTTGGCCTCTTGAATAGTCATTAAATCTTCGAGTAGTCGGTCCCAGCCAGAAACTAGGCTGTGTGGGTCCTGCAGATGTGTCTTGCTTACTTGTGTGGCGGTCAAGCACTCTTCTTGCGATAACAGCAAAGCTTCCGCCTTCTGCTGTTCCAGCTGGATGCGCAAATGCTACAATGGAAGGTCAGGCAAACGAATTGTTATTGTTTCATCATTTGAATTCAACAACGCAGGTACATCCCTTACTGGAGCGGACAATGGGTCTACCTAGTTTCTACTGTGCCTGGACTCGGAAGTTCCATTTGCATACCACGACCTATCCTCCAGGACTCTAAACTAGCAGTTATCGTCACATCTTCTGGTCATGAGTTCAGTAAGTTATCTATAGGCAGTTTTACACCTGTCCTGCCCTGACCTGGATGGCCCAGGTAAGCCTGATCTTGTCAGATCTCAGAAACTAAGAAGGGTCAGCCCCGGTTAGTACTCGGATGTGAGACCCCCCAAGGAAGTCCCGGGTCACTAAGCCGAGGCAGGCAATGACAAACCATCTCTGTTACTCTATTGCTTTGAAACCCTTATAGCAGGGGTGGCCAAACTGTGGCTCGGGGGCCACATGCGGCTCTTTCACACATATTGTGTGGCGCCTGGCAGGGCGGCTGGGGAAGCGAAGGGGAGGCGTGCCTCCCCGATCGGTTTTCCCCAGCCAGCGTTGCCCTCCCTGGGTAGGCTTGAGGTGGGGGGAGCAGAGACAGAATGCAAATTTAACTTTAAATGTGTTCTTAAAGCCTCACCTCCCACCCCCACCAGCCGGCTTGGAGAAAGCATCTGTCTCTTTAAATCCCTTCTCCAAGCCAAACCAAGCCAGCTTTGGGGGGGGGGGGCCTTGAAGGACACATTTAAAGTTAAAGTTGCTTTCTTTCTACCTCTTCCTCCCTCCCTCCCCCATCTACTTGCATTCTTTCCACTTTCTTCCTCTTTCTCTCTCACTTTCTTCCCTCCCTCCCCATCTTTCTACCTCTTCCTCCCTCCCTCCCCATCTACTTGCTTTCTTTCTGCTTTCTTTCCACCTTTCTTTCTCTTTCTCTCAATCTTTCTCCCCTCCCTCCCCATCTTTCTACCTCTTCCTCCCTCCCTCCCCCATCTACTTGCTTTCTTTCCACTATCTTTCTCTTTCTCTCTCACTCTCTTTCTCCCCTCCCTCCTCATCTTTCTACCTCTTCCTCCCTCCTTCCCCCATCTACTTGCTTTCTTTCCACTTTCTTTCCACATTTCTCTTTCTCTCCCTTTCTCTCCTCCCTTCCCATCTAAAATTAGATATCATTATCAATATCTGTTTTTACCCCTTTATTTTATTTTTGGCAGTCTCATTTAATGTTAATAAAAACCAAATTTGCATATCTTTCAATAAAAAACATGTGTGCGGTATTCATGTCTTGTGGCTCTCAAACACCTGATGTTAATTCTATGTGGCTCTTACGTTAAGCACGTTTGGCCACCCCTGCCCTATAGGGTCTCTGTAAGTTGACTGTGACTTGACAGCAGTTCCCACCACCATGTCCGTCTTGAACTCCCTGCTGATTATATTCACTGGGTGACCCTGCACTCTCGTATTGAAAGAGACAGAAATTAGTAATCTTATACAGGTCCCTCCTTGGACATTTCCCTAAACCAAAAAGCCTCCAAAACAGTTACAAAGAAGATGCTCCAACCCTTCGATCATCTGTGCAGCCTGCCTCTGTCCCTCTTTCAGAGTAATCAAATCTGTTCTGAGATGGAGCGACTCTCACTAAATGCTTTAGGAAACAAACTGTGATCCCCCCCCCACCATAGATTTCACACAGAAGCAAACATTCTGATTGGTTTAACACGTATTATGTTAGTGAATTCTGCAATTGTGTGGGTAGTGCTGATTAGAATCATAGCATTGGAAGGGATCTCCAGGGTCATCTAGTCCAACCCCCTGCACAATGCAGGAAATTCACAAATACCTCCCCCTCCACACCCGCAGTGACTGCTGTTCCATGCCCAGATGATGACAAAAAAACCTCCAGGATCCCTGGCCAAACTGGCCTGGAGAAAAATTGCTCCCTGACCCCAAAGTGTCGATCAGCACTTCCCTGGGCGTGCAAGAAAGGGCCACAAGAACGAAGCACTGAGGCAACCCTTCCTGCCCTCCGTCTCGTGATCAGCCATTGATTTAATTTTAACCTGTTGGTTCTGGTCCGACCTTCTGGGGCAAGAGAGTGGCCCTGGACTTCCTTATCCTTGGTGGTCTCCCATCCGAGAGTACTGACTATGGCTGACTCCATTTAGCTTCTGAGATCTGTCAAGACCAGGCTAGCCTGGGCCATCCAGAGTCAGGGCAAGACTGGATTGCTGAAGATTAGAACTGCAATCAGTAGATGAGTGGATCTGCTGTTCCCGTACCTCTATCTCTCCCAGTTGGTCGTTCACCAACACAACATCCAGCTCTGCAACCTGGATCTTCATGTCGTTACACACCCCTAATATACCCAATCCCCCAAGAGCTTACAGTAGCCCCTGTAAGAAGAACTCTGTAAGCTCTTGGAGGATTGGCTACATTAGGGGGGTGTAGCCTAATATGCAAAGGAGTTCCTGCTACAAAAAGAGCCCTATGGCTGACTCCATTTAGCTTCTGAGACCTGACAAGATCAGGCTAGCCTGCTGAAGATTAAAACTGCAATCAGTAGATGAGTGAATCTGCTGTTTCCCATACCTCTATCTCTCCCAGTTGGTCGTTCACCAACACAACATCCAGCTCTGCAACCTGGATCTTCATGTCATTGACCTTCTGCTTCATCTCAGTGTATTTGGCAATTGCTTGGTTTTCGGGTGGAGCAAGACCTTTCTGGGAAACTCCTTCCACCACGGATCCCTGCAAACACAAAGAAGTCCTCTCAATCAACACTACTTTGTTTTTACTCACCACCAAAGTGGTTAGTCCTCAAGGTGTCATGGGTCAAGCCAGGGCTCAGGGATAGCATGGACTCCTTAGGAGAAGAGGATTCCTCAGGCAAAGAGGAGCCTCCTGTAGACCTGCCAGGGGACAGTCAGTAAACACTCCATCTTGTTGCCCTTGTCATTATCCTTTAGAATAGACACTGTCCAGCCTAAGTCCAAAATTTGGCACCAATGACCCTGCCGATAGCTACTGTTTTCCTCTGCGGGCTTTGATACATAGCATAGATTTCTTTTACCAGGTGCTGTTCTGCTGGTGTGCGTCTAGGATGGTTTTGAGCTATAGTTGTGCAATGCCCCGAGGACCCAAACAGAGGGAAGGCGAGCACAAATAATCTGACAAAAATAACAATAATGCTAATTCCCAAGCTACAGACGGAAACCACATTGTGCACTAAGCTAGATTCGAGTTCAGTAGCAGTTTGGTGTAGTGGTTAAGTGTGCGGACTCTAATCTGGGAGAACCGGGTTTGATTCCCCCACTCCTCCACTTGAACCTGGCTGGATGACCTTGGGCAACCCGTAGTTCTGATAAAAGCTGTACTTGAAAAAGAGCAGTTTCTGTCAAGAGTTCTCTCAGCCCCACCTGCCTCACAGGGTGTCTGTTGTGGGGAGGCGGAGGGAAAGGAGTTTGTAAGCCGCTCTGAGACACCTTTGGGTAGTGAAGCTGAGGGGTGACATGATTGAGGTTTATAAGATTATGCATGGGAAAGAGCAGGTAGAGAAAGAGGTACTTTTCTCCCTTTCTCACAATACAAGAACTCGTGGGCACTCAATGAAATTGCTGAGTGGTCGGGTTAGAGCAGATAAAAGGAAGTACTTCTTCACCCAAAGAGGGATTAACACTTGGAATTCACTGCCACAGGAAGTGGTGGGTGCTACAAGCATGGACGGCTTCAAAAGGGAATTAGATAAGCATATGGAGCAGAGGTCCATCAGTGGCTATTAGCCACATCTTCTTCTTCTTCTTCTTCTTCTTCTTCTTCTTCTTCTTCTTCTTCTTCTTCTTCTTCTTCTTCTTCTTCTTCTTCTTCTTCTTCTTCTTCTTCCTCCTTAGAGACCAACAGAATTTTCGGAATACGAGCTTTCGAGGGTCAAACCTCGAATCTGGCTGTTCTGCCGCAGACCAACAGGGACATGGCCAACCTCTGAAACTTCCATTATGTACTGAGCTGCACATCAAATGACACCAAGTGCAGGGCTGAGGTCAGCATACTCTGAGGTGGGACACCTGGAAGGGCCCACTGCCCCTTACCCTCCCCCCCCCCATTGCACACCGCCTCCGCTACCCGCCTGCGTGTTCTTCCCTCACTATTAAGAAAACGGCATGCAGGTAGGCGTGGGTGGTGGGAAGTCGTGAGCAAGCAGGGGAAGGCTGCAGAGTCAGGTACGCGGTACATGGGTGGGGGCAGGAAGGGAGGGCGAGCGGCGATCCCGGTGGTGGGCAGAGGAGGGTAGAGGGCTCCCTGAGCACTCTCTGCCCAGAGACCCACAAAACCTGGAACTGGGCCCCGACCAGCTGCTACAGGCAACAGTGTTCCCACATCCCATCTCTACCAGAAACCAGAGGCTTAAGACTTCTGGCGTACTGGATCAAGGGCTATGACAGCTGAAGAGCCACCAGCGATCGGTAACAGCACCTAAGAACATCCTCAATGGAGTTGTGCAACAATAGAAGATTATTACCTTGCTTTCCGGGGACTGATGGGTAGCCCGAGAGGGAACGAGGTCGGCCCCCATTACTTTCCCATTCATTAACGGCAAAGTGGTTTGAGGCGCCTCTGACCTCCCGCCCGTCGCTTGCAATTGCTTTTGATAGCCCTGCTGTCGTGGCCGAGCCTTGTCGGTAAGACGATTATCCGCCGGCGCTTGTCTGGATTTCTTTGCCCTCTTTCCACTCTGACTTGTCGAGCGCTGCAAATTGTCGCTTTCCACCAGGCTGCCTTTTAACCCCTGATAAATAGTTAAGAAGAATGTGTTCAGAAGGAGGAGGAGAGAAGGGAAACTTCTCAGGACAAAAGTTGCCAAAATGCCAATTGCTTCTTAATGGAAAGAAGTTCTATCACAGGGTGGGTGGGGGGGAGGCAGAAAAGGTCTCGGGAGAAAACCATCCCTGCTTCTCACTTGTATTGAAAGCCCCTTGCCGGGGTCACCGTAAATTAGTTACGACTTGGCGGCACTTACCTACACATTCTTTTGCCTTTTTTGGGGTTTGTTTCGCTACTTTATTATTTTATTTTATAAAGGCCAATGCTATGCTGGGGATTATTAGGAAGGGTATTGAAAACAGATCAGCCAATATCATAATGCCCCTATATAAATGAATGGTGCGACCTCATTTGGAATACTGCGTGCAGTTCTGGTCACCACACCTTAAAAAGGATATTATAGCTTTGGAAAAAGTGCAGAAAAGGGCAACTCGAATGATAAAATGGTTGGAACACTTTCCCTATGAAGAAAGGTTAAAGCGCTTAGGGCTCTTTAGCTTGGAGAAACAACGACTGAGGGGTGACATGATTGAGGTTTATAAGATTATGCATGGGATAGAGCAGGTAGAGAAAGAGGTACTTTTCTCCCTTTCTCACAATACAAGAACTCGTGGGCACTCCATGAAATTGCTGAGCAGTCGGATTAGAACCAATAAAAGGAAGTCCTTCTTCACCCAAAGAGTGATTAACACTTGGAATTCACTGCCACAGGAAGTGGTGGCGGCTACAAGCATGGATGGCTTCAAAAGGGAATTGGATAAGCATATGGAGCAGAGGTCCATCAGTGGCTATTAGCCACAAGGTATAGATAGGGGCTCTGGGGCAAGTGATGCTCTGTCTTCTTGGTGCTTGGGGGGGGGGTCAACAGTGGGAGGGCTTCTAATGTCCTGGCCCCACTGGTGGACCTCCTGATGGCACCTGGTATTTCTGGCCACTGTGTGACAAGAGTGTTGGAATGGATGGGCCTTTGGCCTGATCCAACATTGGCATCTCTTACGTTCTTATGTTTATTTTTAATACAATTTTTATGCTTTTATTTTAATCTTGTTAACAATATTAATTGTGGTAAGCCACTTTGAGTACTCTTCCAGACCGCAGCCAATAAATATACCAAGATAATTAACCCGAATACTAGGAGGGAAAGGTCTTACATTACCTCAGCTAACGGACTTAAGCCTTTGGCAGAGTCAGTGGAGATGGATCCCAGCAGTTGTTCTTCACTTATCAGCCACGACTGGGAATGTTGCGTAGTTTCCCTCGCCGTTTGATTTTTCACTCCATGGGCATTTTCCTTCAGCTGACAGCAAAATTAAAGAATTAATTCAGCAAAGTTCTGCGGAGAAGATGCTAAGGCATAAACATATCGCTCAGCCTGACAAGGCACGAGAATGAACAAAATGTGTCCTGTAAAATGTCTTCCCAATACAACACAAAACGAGTATTGGTTCAAAAGATGGAACAAAACAAATTTTTCTCCTGTTTAATATGCATAGATCAGGTTTTGATCCAAAAAGTCATCCAAGGGTGGAGGAGCAAGATTCAGGTAGTAAAATCCATCCTAATTAAATATTGCATCCATTCTCTGGTATTTACCATATCGAGAAGAATTTTAATTTTCAGTTGGTCTCCCTGAGGATTGCCAGCTTTGGTTTGGGAAATTCCTAGAGATTTTAGGGGGGGAGCGTGGAGAAGGTGGGATTTGGGGAAGGGAGAGACCTTGGGAGAGCATAATGCCTATAGAATCCACCCTACAAAGCAACCACAGAAACTGATCTTTGTAGTCTGGAGAGCAGTTTAAATTCTGGGAGATCTCTAGCCACTGCCTGGACACTGGAGAGCCTATCTCCCTGATGCAGAGAACAGTAAACTCCGGGTGCAAGCCAAAAGGTAGGACCCAAAGGGCTCTTGGCCCTTGGCTCTCAGACACAGCTCACCGCCTGGGGCTTGTGTTAGCCAGCGGGGTGAAGATCTGGACCCGACCGTGGTTTATGTAAACTGGTAGACTTGTATTTTGGAAATTTCTGTAAGCTGCTTTCAGGTTCCTCTGGGGAGCGAAGCAGCACAGAAACGCCCTAGCAAATCAGTAAATAATTTTTCTCCAGTCAGTTCCCATTGTACAGTACACACATAAAAATAATGCTAGATCTCTCCCAGTAAATACAAAGCCTGGCTAGTTGGGGGAAAAAAAGTCCTTTTACTGCTTTATCACACTAGTCTGCATATTGAGGGTTCTGCATTTTCCAAAAATAACCCCAAACCCTGTTAAAACAAGTGTAAGAACAATGGTACCGCGACATGCTGAAGAAGTCTGGAGGGAACTATAACATTCGGGTACAATCGACCTGAAGGACGTGTGAACTTTTAATTAGCCGGATTTGTAGGTTTCCAATCAAAAGCTCAGTTCTGAGCAGCCATGAATGGGCCTGAAGTGAACTTAAGCTGGATCCAAGGATAAAATATATTTCTACAGCTACACTCTGAAGGGGAAGACAGTACGTATCTCAGCAGCTGAAAGCCAGACATTTGGAATCGAGGAGGCAAATATATCAGGAAAGCAAAAGCCAATACACATCCACGTTAGAAGAAGAAGAAGAGGAGATTGGACTTAGACCCCGCCGCACTCGGTGTCTCAGAGCGGCTTACGAACTCCTTTCCCTTCCACTCCCCACAACAGACACCCTGTGAGGTAGGTGGGGCTGAGAGAGCTCTTTCTGGAACTGAGAACAGCTCTGACAGAACTATGGCTTGCCCAAGGTCATCCAGCAGCTGCAAGTGGAGGAGTGGGGGAATCAAACCCGGCTCTCCCAGATTAGAGTCCGCGCACTTAACCACTACACCGAACCGGGGAAATGGAGTGCCGATTTGGCAGCTGATCATCCAGTTGACACAAAAAATAGACACAACAGGAGCTTGGGGGAAAGGCCTGGCTCGATTTCCTTTTAATGGGGCAGGTCCAAGGATGTATCCCCAGCCCATAGCACTTACCGATCTTTCCTGCCACTCGACAAGGCCTTCTTCCAGATTGCTATCTTCAGTAGCAGCAATGGGAATATCAGAAATGACTAGTTTGTCTGTCTCCCTCGTTTTATCAATCACCTCTTGGGTCTTCGTTTTATCAGAAAATCCATTGTTTTGTTTGACCGCATCATTGTGGATACTCCAGGCCTCTTGCTCCGTCCATTCATGTTTGCTTTTGAAACGTTTTTTGGGTTGACACTGAGGCGTGTCCGTCCCATCCTTAATAAACTTCTGTTGCAACAGGGAGGGCTTCTGCTTGACAGATTCTACTAAGGCTACAATCTCCTGTAACATACGTTCCATTGGGCCAAGAGGATTTTGCTGGACCTTTCAGTGGAAACCAAAACACACAAACAAACAAAAATTGCAAGACCTCAGCAGCTGTCAATGGGACTCGCTTCCACAAAGACCCTGATGATACAGGAAGGGCGTAGACAAACTCTAGATCATAGGTTCCCAAACTTATTTGGCCTACCGCCAAAAGGCTGCTTTAGATAGGTTCTGGACTCTTCTTTCTTTATGCTGCCACCACCCCCTTATTTGTATTCAATGCCACCCAATTGCACCCACCTGGATCGTTCCAGCACCCTCAGGGGATGGTACTGCCTACTTTGGGAACCAGTGCTCTAGATAATGAAACACTTTCCTGACTGCAACGGAGAGCTGAAGAGAGATCCCAAGACCATACAATTTATATTGCATTTTCTAATGCTTAAAACTACTTTGATCCCGGTGACTGGTTGAAGCTAATGTGATCCTTTTACCTTGTATTGGTTTCTTGTATTGTATTGCATTGTTGTTGGAAGCCGCCCTGAGCCTGCTTTGCGGGGAGGGCGGGGTATAAATTTGATTATAAATAAATAACGAGAAGGGGTGTGCAAGGGGGAAAAAATGGTATTTTCCCCATTCGGGTGTTAATCATCTCCCCGTCCCAGATGCGTCTTCTTGTAAGCACACGGCCATCCATACTCCAAAGTCTATGCGCTACCTAACACAGTCAGTGCAGGGGACTGTGGGTGGCCAAGGAATCTGTGAGTTCGGGTGGTGAGAGGGCTTCTGAGGGGGTGGGGCAATGATGCAAAGGTATGTGGGTCAGTGGGTGGAAAGGGAGGCAAGAGAAGGGGGAGTTGGTGGGGGGCCGAGAAGGGGAAGGGGGCCCTGGGCACTCTCCACCCAGGGCCACCCAAAATCTGAAACCAGCCCTGGCTTTTCCTCTTCACCACATTTCCCTACCGACTTGTGGAAACTCGTGCAAGGACTTGTGTGGTGTTGGCCGGAGGTGAGGGAGAGGCAGTGTTTCTCTTTGCCTCTCTGAGGCCCCTCAGTTCTAATCAGGGCAGGAACGCACAGGAACAGAGTTCCGGCTGGCTCCCGAGTTGGCCACGCCCAGCAGGAACTCATTAGCATAATAGGCCACACCCAACAGCAGAAACTCATTACGATTGGCTACATTAGGGGTGTGTGGCCTAACATGCAAAGGAGTTCCTGCTACAAAAAAAGGCCCTGGGTTTGGACAACAAACAAGGTCAACAGAATAAGAAGCAAAAGGTGGGTGTGGCTGGATGACCACACTTCTGGTAACGTGGGGGTGCGGCCTAATGTGCTAATGAGCTGTGCTGTCAGGGGTGTGGCCCAATATGCTAACGAGTTCCTGCTATTGGGTGTGGCCTAGTATGCTAATGAGTTCCTGCTGGGCTTTTTCTACAAAAAGAGCCCTGGAACTTCTAATCCTAGGATTTATCCCATTTCCAAACCCAACTGAAAAGCTTCTCCTGACCTGCTTTTGCGCCCTGTCGGAAGGCGCCAAGACTTCCTTCAGTGTAGCCCTCAAGCGCATTGCGAGTTCCTCACAGCGCTGCCGCTCTTCGTCGTGGCCTTCCAAGAGTTTTGCCATGTTCTGGAATTCAAGGAGTTTTGAAATGTTAATGCAGTTCGGCCACACATGGAAGCATCCTCTTCTAGGTAGTGGTTGCTACAAGGGTTCAGAAAATTTGCATCCAAACTCCATGACCATGTTCCTTTACATGGGAAAACTTAATGTCCTGCAACCCCCACTAGGCTGTCTTCTGTGCCCAGGGCACAGGAGGTGGTGGTGGCTACAAGCATAGGCAGCTTCAAGAGTGGACTGGATGAACAGATGGCGCAGAAGTCCATCAGTGGCTCTTAGCCACAAGGTATAGATAGGAACTCACAGGCTGGGACAAGTGATGCTCTGTATTCTTGGTGCTTGGGGGGCCACAGTGGGAGGGCTCCTGGAGTCCTGGCCCCACTGGTGGTCCTCCTGATAGCACGTGGGTTTTGGCTGTCATATGACACAGAGTGTTGGACTGGATGTGTCAGTGGTCTGATCCAACATGGCTTCTCTTATGTTCTTATGGTTGACCTCCTGATGGCAACTAGGTTTTGTCCACTGTGTGACATAGAGTGTTGGACTGGATGGGTCAGTGGCCTGATCCAACATGGCTTCTCTTATGTTCTTATGGTTGACCTCCTGATGGCAACTAGGTTTTGGCCACTGTGTGACACAGAGTGTTGGACTGTATGGGTCAATGGCCTGATCCAACATGGCTTCTCTTATGTTCTTATGACTGACCTCCTGATGGCACCTGGGTATTTCTGGTATCTTTGGCCCCTGTGTGACAGAGTGTTGGACTGGATGGGCCATTGGCCTGATCCAACATTGGCTTCTCTTATGTTCAATGGGTGGAGCATGAGTCTCTCTGACCTCTCCTCCACTCACAGTAATGGCACGGGGAAAGTCTATTTATTAACTAAGGTATTTGCACCTCACTTTTCCATGAGATGGACTGACTCAATAAAACTAAGCCAGGGCCTTCAGTCTCAAGACTTAAGCAACGCTGTTAACGACAGAATGCTCTGGAGCTCATTAATTTATAAGGACACCACAAGTCAGAAGTGACTCAATGGCACTTGGCACACACAACGTGGCTTACGTTGTTCTCCCATCTGCCATCTTGTCCTCACAACAAAAACCTATAAAGGCAGATTAGACTGAGAGTGATTGGACAAAGGACCAATTCCAGCCCAAGCCCAATAGTCTTCGATGCCTGAGTGAGGACTTGAACCCAGGTCTCTCTGGTCTTAGCCTGACATGCCCACCACTACCCCACATTGGCTCTCATGGTGTAGTACAGAGGTTGGAACTACTCACTAGGGAGCAGAATCCCAGGGGCAATAGGCAATATACTTTTCTCCTCCCCACTCCTGGTGCTCATATGGCTAAATGAGAGCCAGTTTGGTGTAGTGGTTAAGAGCAGTGGACAAAATCTGGGAGAACAGGGTTTGATTCCCCATTCCTCCACATGCAGCCAGCTGGGTGACCTTGGGCAAGCCACAGTTCTCTCAGAGCTGTTCTCTCAAGAGCAGTTCTCAAAGAGCTCTCTCAGTCATTTTGATTTATTGCATACGGCCAATGGCTTTTACAAGTACAATACAATACAATAAAAGTTATAAAATACAGAATAGGATCTGCATTAAAACACAGGAAATAAAAATATATATGTGTCCAGCATGAAACTGGTTACAAGCTTAAAATAATACAAGATAAAATAATACAAGATAAAAACTAGAACATACAAAATAAATAAAAGGTTTGGGATAAAATTACTAAAAAGGACCTTATATACTTTAACATAGCCCTGGCTATTTAGTAAGAGAAGAATTAGTCAACTTAATTCAGATTTTCTTTGCTGCTAGGGCAAAGAGTGCAACCTTGTGCAAATACTCTGGCTCAACTTTTGCAAGTAAAGTTATAATTTTTCTGGATGTGGAGCAGGGGCCCAGTTTATCTAAGATTGTGCCAAGAAACTTCTTTCTTGGGGATAAATAGAGTGGACAATCCAGCAGGTACTGACACAGATCTTCAGGAACTGAGCCACCACATATACAAAGGCGTTCAGTTGCTGGTGTTTTGGTATACTGGCCTTCAAGCACTGCTGTTTGCATAGTTTGGAAACGGAGGGATGTAAAGGCTGAACACAAGTTAAAAGTTGTGAGTGAGCGGTTAGGCTACTGCATAAATTAGTTGGCTCTGGAGCCATCCTTCCTGAGTTAAGACAAAAATGTGTGAGCCAGAGGCTAAAAAACTGTGAGCTAGCTCACACTAATTCAGCTTAGAGGGAACACTGCCTGTTAGGTAGGTGGGGCTGAGAGAGCTCCTTCAAGAACAGCCCTTGAGAGAACAGCTCTAACAGCTCTAACAGAATTTGTGACCAAGTTCTCCCAGATTAGAGTCCGCGCTCCTAACCACGACACCAAACTGGGTCTCTATGGCCCTACTTCATTGAGAAGTAGTCTATGGTCCTACTTCACACAAGGAACAGATGAAGTGGTAAAATTATCTTTGGACTGAATCATGCAAATGGGGGGATAAACTTGGTTGTAAGAACATATAAGAACATAAGAACTTAAGAGACACCAATGTTGGATCAGGCCAAAGGCCCATCCAGTCCAACACTCTGTCACACAAAAATACCAGGTGCCATCAGGAGGTCCACCAGTGGGGCCAGGACATTAGAAGCCCTCCTACTGTTGACCCCCCCCCCCAAGCACCAAGAAGACAGAGAATCACTTGCCCCAGAGCCCCTATCTATACCTTGTGGCTAATAGCCACTGATGGACCTCTGCTCCATATGCTTATCTAATTCCCTCTTGAAGCCGTCCATGCTTGTAGCCGCCACCACTTCCTGTGGCAGTGAATTCTTTGGGTGAAGAAGTACTGCCTTTTATCCATTCTAACCCGACCGCTCAGCAATTTCATGGAGTGCCCACGAGTTCTTGTATTGTGAGAAAGGGAGAAAAGTACCTCTTTCTCTACCTGCTCTATCCCATGCATAATCTTATAAACCTCAATCGTCACCCCTCAGTTGTCGTTTCTCCAAGCTAAAGAACCCTAAGCGCTTTAACCTTTCCTCATAAGATTCCCACGAAAATAATTCCCTGTACATACACTGAACCAGCACATCAGGGTGAAGGCTAAGCTAGAATTCCCCATCCCCTGATTCTGTTTTTCTCCACCTGCATGACTTTTTAATTAAAAACACGAGAAACAATTCAAACATGCCTGTTCCCCTTTAAATCTGAAGTGATTCAATCCTGCAGCTTCACTCAATTAAGTCATATCTATATCTTTATCTCAAATGAGAAGTCACAGATCATCCCTAAGGGGGTTTCATCTAAAACATGGACAGCTAAGAACCTTCTCAACCTTCTGCTTTTCTCTCACCAGTCCTACAACCGGCTCAGTGTCAGGTTCTTCTCTTTCTCATCCTCAGAACAACCCTGCATGGTAGGTTAGGCCAAACGAGTGACTGAAGGTTACCCAGGCTGCGATCACACTTTCAGTGCACTTTCAGTGCACTTTCCAATTGGATTTCATTGTGTGAACTAGCAAAATCCAGTTTGAAAGTGGATTGTTTAGTGGGTATGACTGCAGTCCCAGTCACCTTAATAGCTGATTTGAACTCAGGTCTCCCTAACCATAGTCCACCACTCCAGCCATGACCCTGTACTAGCTCTCCCATGGTACCAACCTGCAGCTGGCTAAGGAGACTGTTGTGGAGATGTTTTAACTCCATCAGTGATTCTTCAGTAAAGGAACCTTCGGCACCATTCCCCATGGAACTGCGCTGGCTCTCTAATTCATTCAACAAACTGCTTAAGCCTTCGGCTTCCTGTAGGAGTTCAGTTGACCGAGTCTGTATCTCCGGTGAGGTGGGTTGACGATCGAGACTTAATTCCTGTGTCTGTTGCCCCAGTTCCCACAGTGCTGCCCTGACGTCCTCCTCTCTTTGCCTGTCTTGTTCCACTTGACATTGGAGTTGCTCTTGATGCCTGAAATGGTGAAGGGAGAACTCAATACCGATTTTATTTATTTATTTATTTATTTGGATTTCTATCCCGCTCTCCCCGAAGGCTCAGGGCGGCTAACAGGGCACAATGCCAGATAATAACAATAAGACAATATAAAATGTTAGATTACAAATAGACAATTAATAGACAATTAAATAGATATCATAAAAACATTTTCGGTGCTCCCCTATTCAATTCCAGATGTTAAGATTTTAAAACCAAGATGGTGTTCTCAATGGCATAGCTAGACAGTCACAGCAGTGCATATCCCACTGCCCTGCCGTCCCCTAAAAACGTCCCGTTCCCTCCAACGGTGCCCGCACCAGCAGTAGCAATATGCGGAAATTATAGGGCGTTGGTGGAATAGTGATGGTTTTAATTTAATACCTCATGTCTTTTAAGAAACAGAACTTCTGGGCTGTGTGAACAAAGACAAAAAAGAACCCTGCGGCAACTCAAAGGCTGACAGATGTACGGCAGGAAATGTTCTAGAGTTAGGGCTGCCAACAGGTCTGGAGGAGGAGTTGGTTTTTTACACCCCACCCTTCACTCGGAGTCTCAGAGCAGCTTACAATCTTCTTTCCGTTTTCAATCCCTTCGTTGCGCTTCTGAGTCGCTGTGGTGTGCTGTTTAAAATGTCCACAGCACTTCCTACAAGGCTGCATTCTTCCCCACCCTTTTTCGCCGCACGATCTTCCTCAGACGTTTTTTTTTTACGTTCTAAGGTGAGTGCTATAGCGCCCACCTTAGAACATTTTTTTTTAAAAAGTCTGAGGAAGATCATGTGGCAGAAAAGGGTGAGGAAAAAGCAGCACTGTTTGAAATGACCGTTGCGCTTCACAGAGGTTAACGGAACGAAGATCACTGCATGAACCCCTCATCCCTGTATCGCTTTACTCAAAATCGGGCCAACAACAAATAACATCCGGATTTGAATGGTAATGTGAAAAGGGCCAGGGACTTTCCCCGGGACCACCGGGTGAGTTTCACAAATGATTGCGGATTTCTACTCAGGCCCCCTTGTCCAAGAACCGCTGCATGTATATGCTCTGGTTTATAAACCTCTGTCAAGCCCTGCCTTGGTTCTTTTTCTAAAAAAAATAATAATGAAAAACTGAAAACTCCTTAGCCTTTCATTGTAAGGAAGGGAGAGGAGGGGGAAACAGACGAAGAAGGAGAGCTAGATTTGAGTCTGGAAGCACCTTAGAGACCAACAGGATTTTGAGGGGTGTAAGCTTTCGAGAGTCAAAGCTCCATTCATCAGATGGGACAGAGAGAAAGACTCTTCCTTCCTCCCAGTTCCATGTCTGCAGCTGCCACTACCACCCCAACAAGGAAACAGGACAGGGTAGAAGGAAGGTGGGAAGAGAGGAGAGAGGAGGACTGAAGACGAGATTTTCTTGAACTTGGATTACACTCCCAATCTGGAGCGGCACAGGAGCTTGTCACGCTCAGCACTGTGCCTAACGTGAGCATTACGCTCCACTGGAGTTCCTATTCCAAGCCCTGACCGTCAGCAGCATCACTTTGCGTGGGAGCTAGATCCGAAAACAAATGGTTTAAGCCTAAGAAAATCTGACTACGAAGCTGGCCGGACTTGGCTCCTTCAAGCTGTACAACAAGCTTCCTTCTAAGGTCTGTGTGTTACCTCAGGTAGTCAGTGGCCAGATCCATAGCGTGTTCCCACTGATTTCGGACGCCGGAAAGCGTTTGCTGAACAGCCAGCGCCTTGCTCCTGTCGTCGGTCTTCAAGTGTTCCCCGAGAGCCGCAACATTCTGCAGCTTCGTGTCGCCTTCATCTCTCAGCAGTACAATTTCCTGCATTATAAGAAATTGCTTGAAGGCAAACTGATTTTGTGCATTGATCCTGGTCAGTCCCCATGGTAAGGTATCCTGCCGCTCACCATAAACATTCACACAGAAATGCGTATGCCCCATCCCTTTTGTTCTGCCGCTCAATCAAGAAAGCTGAACTGTGCTCTTATAGGGCAGGGGAGGGGCTAAATATTAGCTCCTTAAATGAATTATTTGATGTATTTCACAACATGTCTAGAGGAGAAACCACAGGGTGAGCCCTTGACCTGGACGGCCCGAGCTAGACCAAGTTTGTCAGATCTTGGAAGCTAAGCAGGGTCAGCCCTGGTCAGGACTTGGATGGGAGACCACCAAGAAATACCAGGGTTGCTACACGGAGGTAGGCAATGGGAAACTACCTCTGTTTGTCTCTTGCCTTGAAAACCCTAGGTAATGAGACATCCTTAGAACATCCTGTAACTTAGTAAGTTTGGAATTGCCTGCTCTATTTCAACATCTAGTAGAGTATGTTTTTAGGATCAGGGAAAGACAATGCGCTTCTCACTAACTTTTCTTTGTTCTTCTGGTTGCTGATCTGGTGCTGTGCTAAAAGTATGTTTGTAACCTTTTTCTTCACTTTCTAATAAAATATTTTAGTCTTTGAAGCTAGTAGTATTCTCTGGACCGCATAGTCTCCCCAACTGCCCTAGGACCACACTACTTTAAGAGGGGAGTCCCAGGAGGGGGGAAGGCAAGCGGTAAAGGCACCCACTGCCAATACTCCAGGGGTCCCCCAAAGAAAGAATTAGGTCCCTGTGGTAACCAGGCGCTGAGTAGCAGGAAACCTTGAGGCCGGGCCTCAGAACTGGAAAGGGGAATTGAGAGCCCTGTTCCTTTCATTCAGTATCCCTAAATTGTGCAGGTGGTGGCAGCATGCCCTAGTGGCAGGAAGTGGAATAGCACCCTCTGGGAATTGGAGGGGGCAGGCAGAATAGGGTCTGTAAGACGGAACAGGCCTGTTCCATCACAGGTTTGCCATAAGTTGGCTGTGACTTGACAGCACTTTCTACCACCAATATGGTGAACGCAACCAATGAACACAACCTGGCTATTCAGACAGCAAAATGGAAAACTTTATCAAAGGTCATTCCTTTCACAAAACAAGCCAATAGACCAGAGGTGTCGAACTCATCTGTTATGAGGGCCAGATCTGACATAAATGTCACTTTGTCAGGCTGGGCCCATGTGTGCTATAAAATGTAATGCTGGGTACAGGAGATATCAACTTTCTCAAGGACACAAGCAAACCCAATTAATGATACTATTTTTTTACTCAAAATACAAAACATGCTTAAAACATTTACACTCTTACAGCAATTCCTTACAGTATCTCCATTATGCCCACCCTCCCACTTCCACCGCCCCTTCCACATTAGCACTGGGACAATATACAGGGACATAATGCACAGCCTGTCATTTGGCAACAAAGGTAATGGCCAGTTGCTCGCGGGCCAGATAAGAGCCCTGGACAAGCCGGTTCCAGCCCATGGGACATGTTTTTGACACCCCTGCAATAGACTATATTTTGTTGATCAGCCACTTCTCTTCTTTCGTCTCAGCAAACTAATAGCGTCTCTCATCCTTGATCCTAAGTGCCTTGAAGGACTGACTTCAATATCAGATGTGGAAATGAAAGAATCCAAGGCCTGATTCAGATTCAATTGGTAGTGGGTTGCTAAGCACTTCCTACGCTTTCTCTCTCTCCCCATTAATCGAAAGCACAGTCCACGTCCTGTGGACTGATCGTTTATTAGAACATCAGAGCATTATGGGTACACTCGACCAACTTCTTCAAGGGTGAGAGGATAGCACACGAGCGACTCTACCACGAATATGCATTTACATGTTGCCGTATGTTTTTATCTAGCTCACACTGCATTATATTTCTATTGATGTCATACCATTTCTTGCATTGTTTAACACGTCACGTGTAATACTTGTGCTTTGTTTCAGATTTCTGCATTTCTAGCCCTATTGTTTATTAGATGATAAAGATTCGAGTCTTGTAGCACCTCAAAGAACAAGATTTTACAGGGTATGAAATTTTGAGAGTTTAAGCTCCTTTGTCATAGCTTTGACTCTCAAAAACTTGGTGGTGGTGGTGGTGGTAGAACATACCATTGAGTCACAGCTGATTTCTGGTGACCCTGTGGAGTTTTCAAGGCCATTGACATTCAGAGGTGGTTTCCTATTGCCTGCCTCCACATCACAGCCCTGGTATTTCTTGGAGGTCTCTCATCCAACTACTAGCCAGGGACAACTTAGCTTCTGGGAGCTGATGAGATCTGGCTAGCCTGGGTTATTCAGTTCTGGGCTAAAACTAGAGGTGGGCACATAATGGGAAAATGCGGTTCGGCTTGTGGTGCGTGGGCAAACCACAAACCAAAAACACGAACCAAACCAGGAAGTTTGTTTGCAAACCGAACCAGTTCGTGGCCCCACAAACCCCACTGAAAGGGGTCCCCTTTCAACTGGGTTTGCCGAAAGCCCCAAAAAACAGCTGAGCAGCGGTGAGCAGGTTGCTCCCTGCCGTACAGCTGTTTCAGGCTGTCTTCTGCGGTCTTTTAAATTTTGAAGGGACTGCAGAAGAGTCTGAAAAACAGCTGTGTGGTGGAGAGGCACGCCCCACTGCTCAGCTGCTTTGGGATGGCAGAAGAGAGCCTGAAAAAAACAGCTGTGTAGTGGGCAGTGCCTCCCCGCCACACAGCTGTTTTTGGCTGTCTTCTGCAGTCCCTTTAAAGTTTAAAGGGACTGCACAAGACAGTTTGAAACAACTGAGTGGCGAGGAGTGCCTCCCCACTGCTCAGCTGTTTTCCCAGCTTTCACTGGGAATAGAAAACAGGGTTTTAAAGTCCCTTTAAACCCCTGCTATCTGCTCCATCCACAAACCACCACGAACAGCCATGAACGGCTTTAAAACTTTGCGGAAATCTGTCACGTCAGACCCATCATGAGCTTTTGTTCACAAACCAAGAACAGGGCAAAATTCATGATGAATTCGTGGTTCAGTCTGTGCCCATCCCTAGCTAAAACTTATACTCTGGGAAATCTTGTTGGTCTTTAAGGTGCTAATGGACTCAAATCCGGCTCTTCTACTACAGACCAAAACGATTACCGACCTAAAATTCTTTATTAATTTTTTACTAACAGAATTGTCATCCTATTGGCCCTGACCCTGGATGGCCCAGGATGGCCCTGAACTCATCACATCTCAGAAGTTAAGCAGGGTTGGCCCTGGTTAGCACTAGGATGGGAGACCATCAAGGAAGTCCAGAGTTGCTCCGCAGAGGCAGGCAATGACAAACCATCTCTGGTTGTCTCTTGCCTTGAAAACGCTGTGAAGTCACCATAACTAGGCTGTGATTTGACTGAACTTTCAACCAGCCTCATCCTATTGATTGTACTGGCATACATTATGTAATCCACCCTGAATCTCAGTGTGACAGAAAAGGACTATAAATAGCAGTCAGAGCAAGAAGCAGCCAGGCAAGCTGCAGAGCCCGACCCCCAGTCCAAAACAGTCCAGTGGCACCTTTAAGGCCAAGTTTTATTCAGGTAAAAGCTCTCCCTCCTCTGCGAGGACAGATCTGCACTCCCCCCCCCCCAATAGCTAGTAATCCAAAACAGTCCAGTGGAGCCTGAACGGTGGGTGTTGCCTTCTGACACACTTCCGGTGATGTCAGGGGGTGTGGCAAATGCAAACAAGTTATGCTAATGAGTTATGCGAATGAGCCCCTGCACCTCTTCTTCTACAAATTGACCCCAGCACTAGTAAATAAAAGTAAATGTTCCAGTACCTTTATCTGTCTCACTTTTTCTTCCAATGGCATCTTGGCTTCCTCATACATCAGCTCAGAGATGGAATCTTTCACTCTTTGCACCCATGAGAGTGTGCTCTGGGCAAGTTCTTCAAAGTTCTTTTCTTCCACAGAAAGTGCCTGAGAAACCCCAAGGTTTTTACGTACGTGGCTGAGCAACGTCTTGTACCGGTCAACCAGCTCTGTTGATTCCAGCACCACTTCATCGCTTGAAAAGCCAGACTGCCTCAAAGAACTTGCCAACCAAGCCAAAGAATCAAATGGCTCCCTGAGGGAAAAGCAAACAAACAATAAATACAATTCAAGATCATACCATTTATTCATTTGCTGTTGTGACGGAATTGAAAATCTGGGACCAGCAGAAAGTAAACACAGAACACTGCCATTGTTCCCTCTAAGCTGAGTTAGTGTGAGCTAGTTCACAGTTTTTTAGCCTCCGGCTCACACGTATTTGTCTTTGCTCAGGAAGGATGGCTCCAGAGCAAGCTAATTTATGCAGCAGCCAAATCGCTCGCTCACAGCTTTAATGCCAGTAGCTCACAAAGTAGAATTTTTGCTCACAAGACTCCACAGCTTAGAGGGAGCATTGAACACTGCTGAGTCACATGACTGAGTGGGGGGTGGCATTTAGCTTGGAACCCTCAGTGATTGGCATTTAATGGACCAGTCAGTTTGGAATTGGCAGTTGGAAAGAAGCCGTTAGTGAGTGGGACGGAGAGCTAAGTTGGTCAGCTAACTGAAGGAGCTCCAGCTCAGTAGCTCTGCGTGTGGACAGCCAAATAACAGTTAAACAGATAACTGGGGCTGGAATAACCTGGTTTAGTGAGTTCCTCAGAAGGAAAGGGACAGTGACCAGACGGTTAAAAGCTAAACACAACAGTGTCATACGCAAATGATACATCACTTCTTAAGGGATCTGAGAGAAGTGGTTCAGGGAGGGCTGAGGAAGCGGTCTGGACCGAGTCAGGACAACTGGTTGGTGGCCAGTTGGGCTCAAGAGGGGCTATAGTATAGGGCCTATAGTACCAAAGCCAAAAGTTAACCATTTAGATTTTAAGACTCCCAGGAGAGTTTACCATTCCTGCCACTCCTAGTTATGCCTGCCTTTATTTATTTATTTTTAATCTTTTTGTTAATTTTTAATACTTTACAAGCATGAGAATACGTATCGAAGGATAGGTGCACATCTTTTACGATTCATAATGACAAAATGGTTTCTTTTTTAGTAATATGTATCTGTACAAACATTAACAAACACTACTAAACAGGTCATGAACTAAATTCTAAGTGACAACAGCTTAAAGTATGTTGGTGGGTTTGAAATATGAAGTCTAATAGATACTGCAAAAATTCACGATTAATCATTAAAGATTTAAATTCATAATAGTACTAGGTGTCAAGAGAGTGGAGCAAGTATTATGTGTGCAAGAGAGTGAGATATACTGGGTTATGCGGTTGGCATTCATTTGTTAGGACGTAGTCAAAGAATGGAAGCCATTTCTCACTAAAATTAGATGATTTGGGATAGATTTCAGATTGCTGCAATCGGTCAGTAATCTTCTCCATAATGTAATGATCCCAGATTTTATTGAACCAATTTTTGGAAGTTGGAGCATTTGGAGATTTCCAGGTTGATGCAATTAGAGACTTTGCGGCAACTAATAGGCTGCGTATAAGATCTGCCTTTATAATAAGAAAGCTTCAATAACGATTTTTTAATTTACACTGAAATTACCACTTCAAATATTCAACCACCCAATGTGAGGTTTCAATCATCGTATTTTTATCCCACCCTTCCTCCAAGGAACTGAGGGTGGCATACGTGGTTCTCCCTTCACCCATTTGGTCATCATGACAACATTGTGAGGTAGATTTATGGCCTGGGACCCACATATCTAAAGGCCCCATCTCTCCCCATATGTCCTCATGCTCCAGCTATGGTCTTCAGTTTGCCACTTTCAAGGTATCCCCTCGTTAAAGGCAGCCCACCAGACATCAACAAAGGGCCATGCTCCTTCTGTGGTTCTTCCCACTTTATGGAACAAACTTCCAGGTAGATGAGTGGGAGAGCTATCCTTGGAAACTTTTAAGCGGCTCTGTTTTGTCACCAGCATGGGGAATGACACATGACGTCTGAGTATGTGCTTGCACCTTCCATGAGCATAAAAGGGGAAATCACTTACTACACTTACACTGGAACTGTCTCCAAAGCAGAACACAAAGGGCATCTATAACAAAAACAGGGTACCTCTGTTTTAGCAGGATCTGGTAAAAATGTTCAAGTTCTGGGTTATCCTTTTGGCCCTCTTGCCCTTTCTCTTCCTGAAGACTTAGCCATTCTTCTAGAGCACTGAAGTCTTCTTCTAGCCTAAAAAGAGGAACGCAAACATAGATGCAACATTTTACTGAGCATTCTTATACAGCTGCAAAAACCTCTGGCAAATAGCAATTCGATGCAAAAGCGACGAAAAACCATTCCCAGGAGTTCTAACAAATCATTGCAAGGAGTTTGGCACCACAACTGGGAAAGCGTGGTTTCAGGCAGGAGAATACTAATGCTTGCGGAATCACTACACATACACGACCACGTGAAGCTTTTACTAGTCCTGTGCACATGTTCCATTGAATGTTCATACATCTGCCATGTACATGTAGACATCTGCTGGTTAGGATGAGCCGATACATGTTTGTTTTAAAAATAAAACCAGGGGACCGGTAGCTGGAGGTTTAATTTGTGTGTTCCCCCTTACATGTGCCGAATGTAATGGAAAAATTACTCAGCGTGTGCACAGAGTAAAGCAATAGCTCCTCCGTGTATAGCCCCTTCCTGCACTGACCAAATGCATGGACAGTGGGAGTGGGCATGAGAGCACTGACAGTCAACCCTTGGATCCAAATGACCACTGGCTCAAGAGGGTGGCAGAGGAAGGGTTCACATGTACATCATGTCCCCATAATCAAGGATGCTGCTTTCCAAACATGCCTGATCACAAGGAGGGAGCGGATGACAGATATCTCCTCCATGCATAGGTGTGACGCTCACAAGCTGCTGATAGTGCAGAGGAGCCGCTCACATCTGCTCCTAATTACCACGCAAGGGGTTGTCCGTGAAGGCCTAATGTCTATATTGTACAAGGATTATATGAGCATTCATTGCCATGCTTGTGCAGGGCTATCGAGTCTCACCATTGGTCTATCAAGTTCAGTATGGTTTATTGTGAATGGCAGAGGTTCGGCATGATGCCCTCCCATTGTTGTCCCCCAAGCACTAAGAATACAGAGAATCATTGCCCCAGATATAGTGTTCCATCTACCTAGTGTTCATAAGAACATAAGAGAAGCCATGTTGGATCAAGCCAATGGCCTGATCCAGTCCAACACTCTGTGTCACACAGTGGCCAAAACCCAGATGCCATCGGGAGGTCCACCAGCAGGGCTAGAACTCCAGAAGCCCTCCCACTGTGGCCCCTCAAGCACCAAGAATACAGAGCATCACTGCCCAAGACAGAGTGCCCCATCTATACTTTGTGGCTAAGAGCCGCAGATGGACCTCTGCTCCATGTGGTATACTGGTCCCTATAGGAAGATATTCTTTGGAAATGTGGTACTAGATCACAAAAGTCTTCTCACCTGGCAAATTGCTGCAAAGTTGCTTGGAGCTCTTTTTCTCGCGCCTGACATTTGGAAGTCAGTCTTTGCACCTCTGCTTCTTGGTCTCTCACCCAGATGCTCAGTTGATTGACGGTGGCCTTGGTCAGGTAGTTCTTCACCTTGCTCAGAAGAGTTTCCACTTCATGGATGTCATCGCCTTTGCCTTCAAAAGCAAGGAAGCTCTGGACAGAAACCACAAATGACCATATATCAATGATGCATCTAAACTCAGTGTCGTGACCGAAAAGGGAGCAATTTGAGGCATGAGATGGCAGAACGGTTACCACACAAGGGGTTGTCTGTGAAGGCCTAATGTCTATATTGTACAAGGATTGTATGAGCATTCACTGCCATGCTTGTGCAGGGCTATCGAGTCTCACCATTTCTTAACTGTGTGCCTATCATCCTGTTTATTCTGGCTGGGAGGGGGGAGTCTGTGAGCATGTGAGAGTGTGGGTGCGGAGACTGCTTTGCTGAGAATAGCGATAGCTTGTAACTGCACCTATGCAGGGCTTCCCTTCAATGGAAAGAATGGGAAGAACGCATGCTTTGACCTTGGGTACCAGACACTGCTAGATAATCTATCCCTATGCTTGCAGGTGCTGGGGGAGGGCTAACGGTACACAGTAGATTTTGGCGGGCTAGATGTATTGGTGTGATTGGACTGGTCACAAGGGTGTGTGTGTGTGTGTTTGAATTATGTAAAATACCAGAACTGGCGCCAAGCGAGTAAATTCTGACACAGATCGTCTTTGCTTGAAACATCTTCATCTCTCAATAAACAAATCACTGCCAAGAGAGTGTTGTTGGGAGTAGGTTTGTTCAAGAACTTGACAATACCAGGGGTTGAACCTGTGACCTTCTGCATGCAAAGCAGATGCTGTACCATGGAGTCACAGCTCCTCACATTTCAGATGTTTGGGGACCACTGCTCTAGAAGACGCAGTTCCAAATCACAGGCCTTACCCTCAGCTGTTCAAGCTTCTCTTCTAATAGCGCTTTTGTTTCCAGGGGATCAAAGCACTCCTTCAGAGACATCCATGTTCCACTGAACCAGTCATTAAAATCCTTACACAGATCTGCAGAAAGATTTTGAAAAAAAGGAAAAGCAACCTGTAACTCTGCAATGAAAAGGGCTAAAGATATTTTTTTAACAATTGAAAGCTGGTAATTAATAGCAAAAATGAAACAAGGAGATGATTGCCGCTTTGAAGTTCAAACCACTGCACTTCCAAATTGAGATCATCTGCCCTGACCTGGATAATAGCCCAGGCAAGCCCGATCTCGTCAGATCTCGAAAGCTAAGCAGGGTCAATTCTGGCAAGTACTCAGAAGGGAAACCTACAAGGGATACCAGGGCCAGGACTCAAAGGCAGGTTATATCAAGCCACCTCTCTGAAATGTCCTAGCCCCACTAGGGGTCGCCAGAATTCACCATGACTTCCAGGCTCGCAAGCACACACAGGTACACACACACACAAATACTCACCCCCTCCCAAAAAGCAACCCAAATTGAGATGATCCAATAAAGATTCATTTTAAACGTTGTGTTATTAGTTAAACAGGCAGTTTGTGAAGAGGTGCTTTACGCGTGGGAGGTCTAGCAGTAAAATGATGTTCCCACTTACAGTTCAAGAGAGTGGAAAAATGATCCTGGAAAATTTGCTTCTTTGAATTAAATAAGTCAGTAACACTTTTAAGCTGCTTGTTTAATTCGATCACGTCTGGGTTCAAACAGCCTGTCTTTTGCTGGAGCGATGTCACATGGTGCTTTTGTTGAAGAATCTTTTGATGTAGTTCCTAATTTTTTCCCAAAAAACAATAGAAGTGGAACAATGTTACTTGTTAACAGAAAGCAAATATGAAGATAAATGTTTGCGAGCATGAGCTTGTTTGGAGGTTCTAGCAGGGGAGCGCAGCTATCATATACCCTTGACCGAAGAACGGTACACTCCTTCTATCTGGGATGGTCGTCCTCTTCCACCGAGCGCGCAGCTTCGGGAGGGACGCACATGGAGCGGTGAGGGAGGTAGGGAACACCCGCCTAGCCAGCCAGATCAGCCGAATCAACCCTGGCGATCAATGGGGTGACAGATGTCGCAGCCAGATCGCCCTCATATAAAACTGCATATTTGAAATTTTGTGTTGATAAGCTTTGTTTTGGTCAAGTTTAATGGATAATTTGACTGTAATTGGAAATGAATTTTAGTGTTGGTAATGGAAGTAATAATCATTAGGATTAAATGAAGTGTTATATAGCTTATTTTGGGGGTGAGGAAATTATGCTTTGTTATGTTTTTCAGTGCAGTGAGAAGGGTTGTAATAAATTAAGTGTTGGAGGTATGATTGGAGAGTATAAAATCTGTGTACTTGAAATTTTGATTTGACAATTTTAAATGTAAAGTTATGGTTTATGATTGAGATTTTGTCTATAACAGTATAAACGTTTTGGTATATATGGTTGGGAAGGGAAGTAATAACTCTGCTGAGGCTGGGGAATTAATGGGTGTAAGGTTAAATTAGTGTTGGAGAATAGGGATATATAGGAATTTTGTTACTTTGGTTATGATCATATTATTATAAGTTGAAAATGGAAATTAGTGGTGGTAATCCTGTAATATTAAATGATATGAGACTTGATAGATATGATTCTCTTATAGGCCTCCATGACTAGAGTCTTCTAATGAGGTATGCGATCAGAATGATTTCCTTATATAGGATAGAAAAACTGGAAGAAATTAATATGAGTGATCAATAGAAAAACAGCAGATGATTTGATAAAAAGGTGTTCTGATGCTCAGATATGAAAAGGGAGCAACGAAAAGTGGACAGGATAATTGGTTTAAAATAAGTTGTGAGAACAATGAGTGTTATCATGTGAGAGCTAAGACTAGAGAGAAGCTAGAATTGGATTCTGTATAATGAAAATATCTTTTGGTCAATGTGATGTATCGAGAAAGGATATGTTTGTTGTGATTTATGTGTCTATAAAGCATAAAAACTCAATAAATATATTTTAAAAAAAGATAAATGTTTGCGCATTTAACAAAAGCCTATATGAAACGTTATTATTTGCTATTGGTATAACCCCGGCCTTGTATAGTTACCAACTTCAAAACTGACTCCTCCACTGTTGGCTTACCTGTCCAGTGCTTCAGCATTTTTGGCATATGGTGCTGAAGACAATTTATACGATTACTCAGATCCAAATAGATGATACACCTGAACATCTACTTCTGGGATTACTTCCGAATGATGATTTAACCAATATGGAAACAAGTGATTATTGGTATTTTACTGGCAGCTGCTCTCAATGGAAATCACCTTCAGCCCCATCTGTTTCGGCTTGGCATTCCAGACTTTGGGAACAATATGTTTTGGCTAAATTAACTTTTAATTTTAATCATTTGTCTTCACCAGCAACAGTTTCCAAGTTTAAAAAAACTTGGTCCCCTATTTTAAATTATTTGGCAAAGAACAGAGAGATTCCAAAAGAACTTTATACTTGTTATATATAATTTAAGGCCCTTTTCTTTGTTCTGTTCTTTTTTGTTTGTTTTACTGGTGTTGCTGTACCATTATTTCAATTTTTAATTTCTGAATGTAATAAAAATTTAAAAAAAACAACACTGACTAATTTCAGAACACTCATCAAAGCAGTTAAACTAAAATGTTCTCTAGTTTTTACTCAATTGTAGCAGTGTGATCTGCTTTTTATTCCTCATTTCAAGGATCTAATCCTTGTTTGTTTATTTCAGAAACGCTTACGGAGAAGAACAGACGCACTATAACTGTAAAATGCAAAGTCAATTTAATACATTCCCAAGGATGGTACACCCTAATAAAAGTATTGAGCAGCCTGAATAGTCCAGACTAACTCAAGCTTGTCAGATCTCGGAAGTTAAACAGGGTCCACCCTAGTTAGTACTTGGATAGGAGACCACCAAGGAAGTCAAGAGTTGCTACGCAAAAGCAGGCAATTGCAAAACCGTCTCTGCTAGTCTCACTCCTTGAAAACTCCACGAGGGGGGGTCAGCCATAAGTTGGTTGAGACTTGATGACACTCATTATTATTAATGTTCGGGCACAAGTTAGGGATGGGCATGAACTGGAAAAATGTGGTTCAGTTCATGGTTCGTGAGGCGCCCCATTCGCAAACCAGACTGTTATGATTTTTTAGCTGGCCACCCAAAGTGCTTTCTGGGGAAATAACAGCCTGTCACGAACCGGCCAAAATTCATCATGAATTTTAGTTCATAAGTCAGTTTGTGCCCATCCCTAAACACAAGTATGACACCATATCAGCATCCACCTTAACCATGGTAAGAATTATATCAGCATCCACCTTAACCATGGTCTGTTTGGCCTTGGCTGGAAAGATAGTTTCAATAGGGCATCCATGCTGGTCTGCAATAGAAGACTTTGATTCGAGTCCAATAGCGCCTTAGAGACCAACGATATTTTGGGAGTATCAAAGCTCCCTTCAGCAGATACCTTAACCATGGTTAACACTTAACAGCCAAAGTTTGCTCTTCACCACTTTTTAAATTTATTCTATTTATCTAGAATCATAGAATTGGAAGGTACCTCCAGGGTCATCTAGTCCAACCCCCTGCACAATGCAGGAAATTCACAAATACCTCCCCCTCCACACCCGCAGTGACCGCTGTTCCATGCCCAAAAGATGACAAAAAAACCTCCAGGATTGCTTCCTGACCCCAAAGTGGCAATCAGCATTTCCCTGGGCATGTAAAAAAGGGCCACAAGAACTAAGCACTGAGGCAACCCATCCTGCCCTCCTCCCTCTCATGATCTGCCTAAATTCACAGAATCCACATTGCTGTCAGATGGCCACCTAGCCTCTGTTTGAAAACCTCCAAAAAAGGAGAGCCCACCACTTCCGGAGGCAGCCTGTTCCACTGAGGAACTGCTCTGTCAGGAGGTTCTTCCTAATGTTTAGCTCTTCTGATTTAATTTCAATCTGTTGATTCTTGTCTGACCTTCTGAGGTAACCGAAAACAAGTCCACACCATTCTCTAAATGGCAACCCTTCAAGTACTTGAAGATGGTTATTGTATCACCTCTTAATAGTCTCCTCTCCAGGCTAAACATACCCAGCTCCTTCTATTTATGTTATTTATAGTACACCTTTCTCACTTGGACTCAAGGTATTTTGAAGGTATTCAGAGCTGATTTAAAAAACCTAGTGTGTTCAGGCTGGTGCTGACCCACCTTTAACCATGGAAAAAGCCAAAGGAGAAGAGTGGGTTTCTATATCCCGCTTTCCTCTACCCTAAGGAGACTCAAAGAGGCTTAAAATCTCCTTCCCCTCCTCTCCCCACAACAGGCGCCTTGTGAGGCAGGTGGGGTTGAGAGAGTTTCAACGGCAATACGGCTGAGCTAAAAGGGGATCTTGACCTGGCCAAGACGCAGATTGGAATGACTGAATCGCTTCTGAAAGCTTTGTCTCCCTCTAACACCCTGGAGATCTTTACTAAATTGGAGGTACGCCAAGCTGGCAGGGAAAAGAAAACCTCCTGGGCTCCTTCTGTCCTTGTCAATGGCATTTCCCCCTCCCTACTGGCCACCCTCAATGCCTTGTTTGGAGCTGGCTAACTCTAATACAGGCAGGCTGGTGCAGATGTAAGCCATGGGGGAATTTCACAAGCCCTTTTAAAGCCGTTTTTAAGCCGTTATTGTACCGTCTTGAAGTAAACCGGTACAGGGCTGCCATTTCACACAGCCTTTCCCCTACCGGCAAGGAGCCGTCTCTGAAGCGGTTTGGCATTTCAGAAGCACCGCTTTGTTTTTCTGCCCTTTTTCATCTGCGCGGGCGATCTCTGCCCCCCCTTTTTTGAACATTCATTTTAGAGTGCTATACTGCTATAGCGCTATAACACAACACCAAAACAGTGCAATAGCAACCCCATTGGAATGCCTGGATTCCACTGGGATACATGAGATGGCTACATCTGCCACCTGACTCACAGTGGGCATGGAAGGGTTAGCAACATCTGTCACACCAATCACTGATGCCCTGATTTCCCGCTTGAAGCCTGTATCCAATGAGGTACTTGTTTCCCAGTGGAGTCCAGGTCTTCCAGTGGGGTCGTTATTGCACTGTTTTGGTGTTGTGTTATAGCGCTATAGCAGTATAGCACTCTAAAATGAATGTTCAAAAAAGGGGGGGCAGAGATCGCCCGCGCAGATGAAAAAGGGCAGAAAAACAAAGCGGTGCTTCTGAAATGCCAAACCGCTTCAGAGACGGCTCCTTGCCGGTAGGGGAAAGGCTGTGTGAAATGGCAGCCCTGTACCGGTTTACTTCAAGACGGTACAATAACGGCTTAAAAACGGCTTTAAAAGGGCTTGTGAAATTCCCCCATGGCTTACATCTGCACCAGCCTGCCTGTATTAGAGTTAGCCAGCTCCAAACAAGGCATTGAGGGTGGCCAATAGGGAGGGAGAAATGCCATTGACAAGGACAGAAGGAGCCCAGGAGGTTTTCTTTTCCCTGCCAGCTTGGCGTACCTCCAATTTAGTAAAGATCTCCAGGGTGTTAGAGGGAGACAAAGCTTTCAGAAGCGATTCAGTCATTCCAATCTGCGTCTTGGCCAGGTCAAGATCCCCTTTTAGCTCAGCCGTATTGCCGTTGAGTTCAGCGGGTATTGACTTGTTTGGTAAGTGCTTTCTTATTAGCTCCATTTTGTTCAAAAGAGAAGATTTGATGACCTGAGAATGCAAAGCAGAGAGACAGGGGTCAGGAGTCCTGTCAGCTTATTTTCTTACATTAACTTCACAAAATGAAAGTTAGGAGTACTTCTAGCTTTTTTTTTTGGTACTTCTTTCCTTTCAGGGAATTACAGTTTCCTTCTGGTTCCGAGGGCCTCTTCCCTCATTACTTTTTTTAAGGTGTACATTTAAACTCTCTTAAGGATGAAACTAGGGATTCTGGAGGACAAAGAGCTCCTGCCGAAAGTGGAGCCCATGTATCTAAGAGGGGACATGAAAGAGGTCTATAAAATTCTCATTCGCAGGGAGGGTGGGGTAGAAATATAATACATAAATAAATAAATAAATAAATAATTATGCACAGGGTGGAAAGAGTTGACAACTTTTTCTCCCTCTCTCAAAGTACTCAAATTCAAGGGCCTCCAATGAAGCTGATGGGCAG